GCTTTGTCTTTAGTCAAATATGATTCACTTTCTTTGACATGTGATTTGATATTCCAAGGTTCTCTTCCTTTTGATATGAAACCATCAAATGCACCATAAAATAAACCAGAATAAATATTGTATTTAAATGAACCTTTAAAATTTCTTGATCTATACAATTCATCATAGATCCATGATGATTTAATAGCATTTTCATATTCAATTAATTCTTATCCTGGTTCTACATTTTATTTAGCACATATAGTTTCTGCTGCTAACATTCCTGATTTCATAGCATTATGAGATCCTTTAATTTTCATAACATTTAAAAATCCAGCTGAACAACCAGCTAACATTCCTCCTGGAAATGTTAATTTAGGAATTGAAAAATATCCTCCTTCATTTAATACTCTTGCACCATAACTAATACAAGTTCCATTCTTAAGATATCTAGAGATTTTTGGATGTCTCTTTAGATTTTAAAACTCTTAATATGGATTTAAATTTGGATTCTCATAATCCAATCCCACAACCAATCCTAAATGTATTTAATTAGTATTCTTATGATATAAGAATGATCCTCCATAAGTATTCCTACATAAAGGCCATCCAACTGTATGTTAAACCAAACCTGACTTAAAATCTTCTGCAGGAACTTCCCAAACTTCTTTCAATCCTATTCCATAAGATTAAGTTTCACAATCTGATCATATATATGTATAATATTTACTTTATCTTAAATTGTATTTTTCAATAACTCTCTCAGTTATTGAACCTCTTGCTCCTTCACATAATATTGTTTAATTTGCTATTATATCTATTCCTTCTTAATAATTAGATTTCTTTTCTCCATTCTTGCCTATTCCCATATCTCCTGTTGCTACTCCTATCACTCTATCCTTTTCATCAAAAATTACTCTTGCTCCAGAAGTACTTGTAAAAATATCTACTCCTAAAGTTTAGGCTTATTCTCCCATCCATACACATAAATCACCTAAACTTATGACATAATTTCCATGATTTCTAATTGTCGATGGATAAAACATGTGTGGAATCTGAAAACTCAATTTTTCATTCCAAAGTATATGAAAGTGATCTTCTGTAACTGGAGTATCTAATGGAGGTTTCTATATTGTAATTTAATGTCTATTATACATTTTCCATTTTCTCCCAATTAGGAAATAATTCATTCATTGCAGTAGGTTAAAAGCAATTACCGCTGAGAATGTGTCCACCTAAAGTTCCTGATTTCTCTATGACAACAACTGATTTGTTAGGATCTAACTCTTTAATTCTTATTGCTGCTGACAAACCTGCTGGACCTGCTCCAACTATAAGTACGTCATATTGAATCTTTTCGCGTGAGAAAAGAAATCTCGTAATTTTTTTTAACATTAATATTATTTACAAATCCAAAAATAGGCATTATCAAAATTCATATTAAATTACTATGTTTCAAATTTTTACATAGCCTATTCTTTATAATTTATATATTGCCAATTGTTATTAATAAGATCTTTAAATTGATATCTGTTATTCTCAATTGAGTTGATTATTTATATTAAATAATAATATTAAGGAAAATAATTTTATGTTTATTTAATGAACAATCTATGTTCAAATCAATTAATTATAACCCCATAAATTTGGATAAGATATTACTTAAACTATAATATTTTATATAACAAATAATAATGTATTTTAGGAAACAAAGCAAGATAAGCCTTTGTGTGATCCAAATATATAAATTATATGAATGATGAAGACCAAATGAAATAACATCATTTCTAAATTTTTTATATTACTTACGTATTAAAAAACTATAATTTACAAAATCATTTTCGAAATGAATAATTAGGTAATTCATAAATTATAGTGTGTTTTAAAGCCAAATAAAACAAGAGGAATGTCTGCTCTTGATCGATTGTTTAATATCAACCAATAATGATATAATAATAAACTTTATAATGACATGGATGCTAACCTATATAAATCATTAATTGAATAATAATAATCTTAAAAATTTTCTTAAATCATAATGAGGCAAAAGTAAATAATCTAAGTGTTTAAAATAATATTATGATTGATTTACAAATGAAAATATAAGTAATAATTAATTCTAATGTAAAGGTTGCCACTATATTGAAAAATATATATAAAAAAAAGAGAAATTATTGTAATTAAGCATAAAATTCACACTATGAAGTACAGATTTTATTCTTCTATACAATTAGGAAGAATTACTAGTTATAATCAGATTTAAATGTAAAAATACACAAAGAAATACTGCAATTATTTCTAAAATAAACAAAAATGCAATGAAAATGCAAATTTAATAGCTAATAAGAATTAATTGAATATGTAGATAAGACTATATTTACATTACTTATTAAATATAATTAGTGTAATACATTTTCATATCTCCTCTTATTTGCAGGATATAATATTAATTTATTTAGAAAGAATTGAGACTTTTGTTTATTGTAATTGATTAGTTTATTCAAGATTATATTCTGGTATGTAAGATAGGAATATTAAATTAATAAGAAGACTTAAATTATTTAAAACAAGATTCTTAAGGATTTAATTGAAAATGATATTAACTTTAATTATATAAAACAATCATGGGAGACTCTTTTGTAAATTTTCTAAGGTATGCATTATGCTATTAACTGAATTAGTGAGCTATTTAAATTAAAGTAATTGTTACCTATTCAGCTGTACTTTTGATACTATTAATCTAAGCTTCCAATTGATTAAGTTTTTCAGGTACTGCTTTGAGTGTTACTGCATTTCTTTAAATTGCTGCAAAATCATCTTCTATTTATTGCATTTGTGGTACTTAACACTATCCCATTTTATCTAAATAAAAATTAATTATTAATTAATAAATTAATTAATTTAAGGATGTCAATGAGTGAATAGAGTAAAACAGAAAATCGAATATTTGTGACTGGATACTCAACAAAAGATAAAAATGAAGATGATATCAAAGGTCTTTTTTCTAAGTATGGAGAAATCATTGAATTCTCTTGGAAGGGTCGTTTTTGTTTCATAGTAAAATTAGCGTCTATTTAATTAGGCTTATTCAAAAGCAGAAGAAGCAACAGAAGCAGTGAATGAAATGAATCAAAAAGATTAAGATGGCAATACTTTTGTTGTTGAGATAGCCAGAGCCAAAAAAAAAGATGGTGAATGCTATAAGTGTGGAAGAATAGGCCATTTGTAAATATTTAGATGAAAATTAATTAGTGCTCGAAATTGTAGATAAAAAGGAAGATCATCAAGCTCAAGTTCAAGGTATAATTAGTTATATCTAGACGTCATTAAAGAAAAGTTAAAAGACATAGAAGAAGAAGTCCATCCAGTTCATCCAGTTCTTCTTCATCTTCATCATCTAGAGATAGAAAGAAGAGATAAAAAAAACAAAAAAAAGCAAAGGAATCCTCATCCTCAAGTGATTGATTTAAAAAGAATTTGGATATATATCGATGATAAAAAATTATCGTGTTTTTTTGTTGTGAATAAATCAAATCATTTTTTCAATGCTTATTCGTTGTCTCTCAAAATTTATAAAGCAGTCTTTAACGAATTCAATTAGCCTTCTTTCTTGCTTGCATTGGATCTGAAATTTGAATCATATAAATCTTTTTAGACTCTTGTAGTTTCTAATAATTATTAAGTATTTGTTAAGTTTTATGATAATTATTTATTTCTTCTTTATGTAATTTTCTATACAAATATAAAAATAAATAATTACCAAATCATTTTATCTATTCTTTAATGCACTTGTAGTTTTTTAATTATCTTATTCTAATTTGTCTCTTACAACAGTAACTTCATTCACTAAAGAATTAAAGTTTTATTCAACTGCTGTTTGATTAGCTTCTCTATTTTATTAACCTTCTTTTATAGATGCTATGATTTATTCAATTAATTCAATAGCTCTTTTAGCAGTAGCTTCATCAAATCTATAAATATTATTAATCATTTTTTTACTTAGATGAGAATTCTAATAATAAAGCTAATGGATGTTTACGACCTAATTCATTTTTTACTTATTTGATCATTTCTTTTTTTTCACTTTCTTCAAGAAATGATCCTGTATTTGAAAGAACTGCCTTTACTAATCTATCATGTATATCTTCTAAGGCTGTTAAAATCTTTGAACTAGCAGATTATTTTGTTTCTAATGCTTAAATTTCTTTTTATCTATTATCTCTAATTTGTTCCTCTCTTTAATTAACTGTTTCTAATTGTTTCTTAACAGCTACACTAGTTGAAGTAAGAGTAGATATTTCTTAAGTGATTTCTCCAATTTTTCTATTATTTGTTTATACTTCATTTGATAATGATGCCAAATTTGCTTCTAATTACTCAATACTTGATTCAAATGCTGCCATTCTTGAAGCATGATCTAAATTTGCTGCATTAATTTGTCCTGTTAAATCATCAACCATCTTTTATAACAATTCAAACACTCTATCTAATTATCCTCCTGCTAAACTTAATTCTAACAATTCAACTAATTATGAATTATAATCATTTTTGTCTAATTTATTTCTTAATTGTTAAAGTGCAGGACTATCTGTTGCAACTGTCATTGTTACTAAAAGCAACACTATTAGAGTTTTTGATTACATTTAATCCGTTTTTATAATTATTAATAATAATCATTATTATGATTACCTTTATGCAAACTATACCAAATATTATTCTCTCCTCTTTTGTGATACACACTAAAATTATATTAAAACCTATATAATACTATCTTATACTTATCTTGTGTGATTTATAATATCTTTTTAGTTAATTTTTTTAGAATATAAATTTTATCTCAATTTATTAGAATTTAATGTATTTATAGATTGAATTTCAATTTCTATTTAGATAATTTTAAATGATAATAAATAAGAAATACTCAAACAAGTGATCATACTAATTTAAAAATGATTTTTATACATCATATTATTTTAATTAAAATTAGATATACTAATCAATTTTATTCTTTATATTTTATAGTTGTATGTAGAATTTATTAATAATTTAATAATATAATAATTATTATTTTTATTCTATTTAATATATCTTTCTAGGTGAATAAATTTGATAATTAATTATTTATTTAACAATAACTAATTATCTTAATTTAAGATATTAGATTTTAAAATATAGGTTTGATAATATAGTAGAATTTATAAATAATATAGTTCATCATTTAATAAATCTCTAAAAATTTAATTATTCATTTATATACATACAAAAACTATTAACTATTTTTATGATTTATCTTTTATTAAGCAATATAAATAAAATTTTTGATCATTCAATATTCTGAATTACTTGCTGATATTGATTTATTACAGCTTAAAGTTCGCTGTCTAAATTATGATCTCCATTTTAATATGCATTAATGATTATTTTTTCAATTTTTTCTCCAATATTTATTAATATATCTCCAATTGATTCTAAGATTTATTCCTATTTTTTCTAATTTGATTCAATCACTATTGAATGCTTTAATATATAATTAGGTAGTCTATTTTAATTAAGTTAATTGCCATTTTATTAAAAAATTATTAAATTCACATCTTATTAGTTAACAAAATTTGCTGTGTAACTCATTAAATCTTGATATACATCAATATTCATTAATTATGTTTTTGATGGATGCAATACAATAAATTAAGAGATAAAAGTTTATCCAATAAAATTCTTAATAGTTTTAGTAATTTTATTTTATTTTATTATTATTTCACTTTTATCTGAATTTAAATTAATAGATGCATCAATATGTTGTTATATATTTTAATCATTTTTAAAAGATCCCTTCATCTTTTAAAAAATAAATATATTTAATAATTTTATATTATTATTTTATAAAAATAGATGATGAAATGAAATTTAAGTCTTAAATACTTTGTCAATCATATTTTCTGTTTCAAAGAAAATATCAATCAATAAAATAAATTTAGATACTTTTATAAGTTTAATATCATATTTATTAATCTAAATAAATTCATTAAAAATTTTATTAGTAGGATCTTAAGAAAGTTTTCCTTTTGCCTATATGCATTTATCCTTAAACACTATTTTTAGGACTCGATACTTTGTCAAAATGTACACTTTTAAACGATCTCTGTGGAACTGAGGTTTATTAATACGATATTTAATTTTGGGTTGATCTCTTTTTGAGTATACTTTTTATTGTCGATCTTTAACTTGATGTCGATAATTTTGTGTTAGATAAAGATTTTGATTTTTAATAATCAATTTTTCCTATTTGTTTGTAAAAATTATATGTAGTTGTAATCTCTTTGGTCTCTGTCTTAATTTATTAAGAGGGTGAAGTAGCCTTATATCTCTTATTTTGCTTCTAAAGTAAACGTTCATATTTTTCCATAATCAAAAATAGTTCAAATTCATCGTCTTTTTTAAGAGATTTCATCATTTATAATGCTACAGGTTTTTATGGAGTTTTAACAGGTATCTATTTTTCTTAGCTAAACTGATCAATTATAATGTTGATTTCTTTATATTAATTTTTAGGAGATTCACAAAAGCATGGTTTTGAACCCATTAAATGTAATGTCTTTAGTAATATTTATTAAATTCTTGAGAATTCTTATATAACAAATTAAATTATCTAGAATTTCAAAGAATGATTCGAAGAATGATTCTAAAATACAAAAAATATCGTTTTCTATCAAATTAGATGGATGATAATTGTAAAACAGATTATTCTTAACTTATTTTTAAAAATTTTAACTTAATTCATTATTTTCTATAAAAATTAAATTAATAAAATGATTAACTAATTATTATAGAAATTGATGTATATATTCAGTGATTCCTCACTTTCTTAAATAATTAAATTGAAATTATTATATTTATTAACTGCTCATAATAATACTAGGATGAATCAAAACTAAAACTCTAATATCAATCAGAATTATATATATCTCAATTAACTTGTTTTATTAGTTATATAAAAAGGATTAGATTAATATCAAACTTTAGGACAATTTGAAAAATGTAAATTATTTTAAAAGTTAATTATATCGCTTTATATTTAATACACCAATTAAAATTAATAATACTCTCTAAAAGTTTAGATTCTATTATGAACAATTGAATGAATCATAAATTTGATAATTTTTAATGATACAATAAAGAATGATATAGATTTAAATGAATAATTTAATCAAAAAGTTTAATTGATTAGAAAAAAAATTTCAAATTTTCTCTTATTCTATTATAACAGAGATTATTTATAGTATTAAAATTGAGAAACTAGAAATCATACGATATTTGCTTAATTTTTTTAAGATCTCTAAAAAATTGATATAAAAAAGATGATTTTGCTCTAATTTTTAAGGTACTAAATTTTTATATAAGCATACAAATTAATTTTCCCCTAATATCTGGTTGATTTGGGAAATAATATGAATTATAAGATATAAAATCAAATTATAATTCTAAGTTTGAAATCTAAACTAAAGGAATTGAGTTTAACATAAATAAGAAATTAGACAAGATGATTATAATAGTTTATAATTAAATTAATTAATTAATAAATATATCTATGTATAGGTTTAGATAGCTTTGGAAATTCAGCACACTCTAATTTCACAAAGGAGTTAGTGAATATTAGAGTGTTTCTGAAAATGTAGTATTGAGAGGAGTAACACTAAAAGGTCGATATAATGATTTACCTAATTTGCTATTCTTTACAGAAGCATGTGATCCGGTTGAAAATTGGATACCATTCTTTAGTGATCCAAATAACAAAGTAGAATTATAAATTAAATAGTTAGATCTTAGATTATAGAAATGTGCATATTTTGAGTCCTAGAAATTTTGGTACATCAGATAAACATTATTCATTTGATGTTCAAGATTTAGCAAATGATGTTATCAGATATATGTACTATAATAAAATTACAATGGCTACATTAAGTGGACATGGATTTGGAGCTAAAGTAGCTTTGGCAGCAGGATGTTATCATCCAGAGAGAACAACTGGTGTATTTTGCATAGATTATTCACCTATGGATTAAAGATATCATGAAGCATTTACAGAATTCAGAGGCTATATTGCAAAATTATCATAAATAAATACAAAAGAATTAACTAAATCATAAATTGAATCTTATTTAAAAGAGAATATTGATGTATTCAAATTGAATTACTTAGTGTCCAAAATGGAGATCAATTTTTAGTGATAATCTTATTAAATTGCCATCTGGTTAATGGGATTGGAAGTTTGCACTCAAATTCTTACATAATAATGTTTCATTTAATAAAGCTGATTCTATAGCTTTCTGGCCAGTTAAAGCAGGTCTCTATACAGGAAGAGCTCATTTTGCATTTCCTGAATTCTCAAGATGGGTTCATCTTGGAACCAATACTTTACCTATGTTGAAAGTCTGTCCATAAGTTAGAGGATTTGGTCATGATGTTCATTCTGTTTAAGGTGATAATAATACATTAAATCATTGGATCTATGAATTTAATAATCAATCTTTTGTTTTTGCAAGTAGATTTACAAAGTAATTCAAAATTCTTAATTAGATTTTTGTCTATGTATGATGGAGTTCATTTATTATTAAAAGATAGAACTGAGGTAGGCAAAGAATTTGTTCCCTCTATTATTTATTCAAAAAAAGATCCAAATCATATTTATTCTGATTATTCTCCTGCTCATTATTATCATAATTGGAGATTCAATAATGTCTATAAAAATTTAGACACATAAAATAAATGAAAATATAAAATCAAACATATTGCATAATATCTATATCTATCATTAAATCTACAAATCTATTCTTGCCAATATTGTATCATCTTATTTTAATATTCCATTTAATTAATCATTTTATTTTAATGGTCCAACACCATGAGGAGTTCCTGTTAATACTAAATCACCTGGATTTAGTGTCATGAATTTAGAAATATAACAAATCAAATCTGCAATCTTGTAATACATTGAACTTGTTTTATCATGTTGTACAATTTTATCATTTATTCTTAATTCTAAAGTTAAATTATAAGGATCTTCAATCTTTTCTTTTTCAATCAAATTGCTTATTGGAAAGAACAGATCTTATCCTTTTGATAAATCCCAAGGGAATCCTTACTTTTTAAAATGGGCTTGTAATTCTCTATCTGTTAAATCCAAAGCCAGAAAATATCCACCTACATAATCATACCATTCCTCTTTTTTAATGTTCTTGCCTTATTTACTAATCATAAAACCAAGCTTTAATATAAATATTGTATATTATTACTTCTATTTCATGATGTATTTCATGACCAAGTTCAGGTAATTTTAATATTTGTGGTTTATCAACCAAAAATATAGAAGTAAAGGGCTTTTGAAATATTACAGGCTCTTTTGGTGGTTCATCTCCACCCATTTCTTGAACATGTTTTACATAATTTTTTCCTACAGCCAATATTTTTGGATTGTTAGGATTTACTATTTTCTTAAATAGTTCTTCCATTATAATTTTACTAAAATGATTAATATAAAATGTTTTCAATTATATATCTAATAATATATCTATAGTTTAATATAAGGGTAACTATATATATGCAATAAGATTGTATTGAATTTATTATGTTTTGTGACAAAATAAAAAACCAAATTCTTTATGAAATCTTGTATATTTTTATATTAATAAATGGATTCTAGTGACTCTTAAGATGATTCATATTAAAAAGTATTAAAATTATGAATAAAGGATTCGTTACTCGAAATACTTAGAATTGGATAATTCAAAAAACAAAATGAAAGTAGATAATTATCAATCGATTTTTCTAATCAAGTGTTGAACTTAGGAATGTTTACAAAACAAAAATAAACTTATATTTAAAATACAAATCACACTAAAGAATTATATATTTCGGTGATTAAAAGTATTCTAATATATAAATTTAAGAGATCATAGATCCATAAGTTTATTATGTAAAATCAACATTTTGAGTAAACAGAAAAGAAATTTATACAGTCCAAAAAAAAAAACTGTAGGAATTGAAGATTAATAATTAGAATAACAAGTTGAAAGAGTTTATAATACTGTAAGAAGAAAGAGTTGTATCTGTTCATTATGTGGTCATTAAGGTGATTTTGAAAAACGTATGAACACTTTTAAAGTGAAAACCTAGTAATAAATAAATACTGAAATACGGTTATTAAAGTACAATACAAGAAACCAATTTAAGCAATAAACTTTAATTAGACTACACAAAATAAAACAAATATAAAACTAAAACTGTCACAATTCCAGTCTTTCAGCTTAATTAGATAATTAAATATAGTATATTTAAACTCCAACAATTACACCTACCTTAGTTGACATTTAATTAAAATTCAAGAAGAAAACAACAATTTAGCCTGTAGTATTAAAATAATACTTACCTACTACAAAAAATTATTATGTGAAAAAATATCATCTTACCTCAAGAACAGGAGCCAATAATACTCCAACATAAAATACCTTGCCATCTCTTAAGACTTTAAGTTAAAGTAGAAGAAATCTGTTTGATAATAAATATTATTGATTTAAATATTTATATTTAATTATATATTTTATTTTGCAATCTTACTTATAAAATTATGATGAATTCACCTTAAAGAAATAGGTATTAATATGTAAATAATAAATATAGAGCAAGCAGTCAAAAATAATAGATTGTCAAAAAAAACATCCGAAAATATAGTTCTGACTATAGTGACTCTGATGTTTCTAATCAAGAATCTTAAGTTAAAAAGAGAATTGTCAAAATTTGGACTCCTGAAGAAGATTAATTGTTATAGTCATTTTATGAAAAATATAAGGGTAATTGGATTTAAGTGGCATAATCTATACCTAATAGAAATCCTTCTTAATGTTCATAGAGATGGAAAAGAATCAATCCTAATAGAGTATTATAATTTATTAATTTCAGATAAGATCAAGAAGATAATGGACAGAAGAAGAAGATCTTTAAGTTTTAAATTTGATTAAGAAATTTGGAAAGAACTGGAAAGCCATTGAAAATCATATGTATGGAAGAAGTGGTAAATAAATTAGAGAAAGATTTATTAATAAACTAGATTAAACTATTAATCATAATGAATTTACATAAGAAGAAGATGAAAAAATTGTTAAATTATACTATTAAATAGGTCCAAGATGGAGTGACATTTCTAAGTTACTCAAAGGAAGACCTGTAAATATTTGATGCAATTTATTAAGGAAAATATGATTAAAAATCGTTTCTATTCTCATATAAAAAAGCACTATAACATTTAGTCTATGAATCCAGAAATTGTTGGAAATGAAATGATGTCTTAAAATCAATTTCAAAATAGTAATTCACTTTCAGATTTACTATAAGAATAAGATTAATAAATATAAGGAGAACTTAGATTAGAAACAATACACAGTTAATTTGAATAAGAAGGTTCATTTATCTCTAATCTAATAAATAGCAATCATATTTTGTTACCTTAATTTAAAAGTTTAATTCAAGGAGGTAATTATTGTAATCTAGTTAAGAATCAATAATTTCAAATGGAGAATCAATCATTAATAAATAAGAAATGAATCTGGAACAAAAATAATTATATGGAATTGACAGTTCTGGAGTAGGTTCTCAAGTCTATTTAAATATTTAGATGCCTCATTCAGACATCTAGGATGAATTAGATTCAAATATTAAAAAATCACCTTAATATTTACTAACTGATAGTGAAAATAAAGAAAAAGAAAACTAATTAGTATATCAATTTACAAAAATGAGTATGGAATAAGATTGATTTGGTATGATTGTACAAGAGTATAAAAAAATCCTTTTTTTATTATTAGAAATTTTATATTTTTAATAAATTATTATATTTATTTCTATAAATCTATATTTTAATATTAATAATTATAAATTCTATTAAATTTTGAGTTAATATAGATATGAAAGAGTATTGATATAATCAAACTCCTTTTTTTTACAAAAATTCCTCAGCTTAAGCTATCTTTTAATGATACAGCATTGTAATTTCAATAATAATCTAATTTTCTTCATGTCTTTTTTATTTCTCCATCACATATTTTGCCTTTTATTAATTATAAGCATCTAAGAATAGTAAAATTAATTATTACTTTAAGTTTATTATAAAATTCTTTATGTATTTCCTAATATTTTCTCACATTAACTTACAACATCTTATGCTAATTCTTTATCATCTTCTAAACTATTTAAAAATTTTAATCTGCTATCATATTCTTATTTTAATAACACTTGTTCATTTAATAAATTTCTTCTATAATCCACAAAATCATTAGCAGATGTAATTTCTTATTCTTCTAATGTTTTAATGTGTTCTTATATTTTAGAAATCAATCCTTGAACTTTTCCAACAATTTCTGAAACCACTTAAGTTGCTTAATCTTCTTATGAAACCTCTAAAATCATATAGATATTATACCTACTTAAGAAAACACTTCTTTATGGTCTATCATATTAGTATAGAGTGATAATTTAGAAGTATATTCTTATGTCTCTTCTTTTTATAAGAATGCATTTTATTCTTTGAGTTATAAATCCCCATTAACCCATTCTAATACATTTAATGCCTCTCTATAATCTCTTAAAGCATCAATAAATAACGAATTTGCTTCACATCTTTATTCAGCTAAATCCTCTAATTTCATATCATTTGACTTTCTTCTCTTTTCATTCCAATTCAAATAATCAGTTGTTTATGATATCTTATCATCTACTGCTTCTAAATCTTCTGAATTTTTTTGTAATGATTCATTATTCTCTTTCATAATTCCTGTAAATGCTGCACAATCATTCAATACACCCCCTTCATATTCTTAAAAAGCTTTGTCTGCCTATTCTCTAGTTGTAAAGATCTCATACTTTTCTATCTAGTTCTTCATTTGCATTTTTCAAGTCTTCCAATAATTGCAATACTGCTTAAATAGCATCTCTAGCTGTTCCCAATCCAGTTCCAGTGCTTATCAAATTTAAAAATTCAGGATTGAATTTATGTTATTGTTAACAAAAGATAATTGTAATAAAAGCTAATCCTATCAGAAGTCTCATTTCCGTTTTTATTTCTGATATTATAATATAAATTATGTTTAAAGTAATACAATGAATTATATTATTATTTAATTCTAAGAACTGTAGTAGAATACTATAATGATAAAAAAAGTAAATTATACACTCGAACTTCCATATACTTTCTCTGTTTATCAAAATAATTTTATTGTATAATTTCATTTCAAAAAAAAAAAAAAAAATAAATAAAAACAAAAAATTCAATTTTCAAACTTATTATTTGAATTTTTTTCTTAGAATTCTATATTCTATCATTATTTGTAATTTTACATAATAATTAATCATAATTATGTATACATTTTGAATTTAATAATAGAAGGGGTCTTAGTTTTCTTAATTTACTCTTTTTTTTAGATTGTAAAACTAAATTTATTATTATAAATAAATTTAAGAATGGAAGCACAATAAGGCTTACGGAATAATTAGGACAACTCAAGTTTTTGGGAGCCCAAATATTTCTTAATGGCTATGATCTTTTGCTTTTTAATTTATTTTTTTTTGAAGAATAATAACAGAAGAGAGCCAATTAAGGTAGATAGTATCTGAATAGTATTAGGATAGAGTATGGAGGAAATTTGCATTTTCATATTAAGAGATGATGAATACATTTGACAATTCAGAGAAGGAACTTCTAAAGCATACATTTCATAATACTATTTTTAATACAAAACCTTCTCTTGTTAGTAATGATATAAGAAAACCAAGTAAAAAGACTTGTAATGTGTCTTTTGATTTAGATAAAAATGTTACTCATATGTTTTAATAAAATGGGTGTTGAATCTAATAATTTCCTTGAGAATTCATTAATTAAATATGTTAAATATATATATAAGTCCTCTTTTCTTTGATAAATTTTTATTACTCCCTCTGATAAATATATATTTTAAAACTAATTAACGTCAATCTATTTGGAATAATTAATAAATGGTTATTTATCAATATAGAGTTAAATAAGACTACATAATTATTACTTTATATATTATATAAATTAATTAAATGACTATAATATTATAAAATTTAACTTTAATAATCTTATTGAATGTAAATTAAAAATGTTTTATAGATACTTGATAGAATATAAAATAATCTTCTCAATTCCAATTATTAAAATTTGACATTATAAATAAAAGAATATAAAATCAATCATGCAACTAAAAGAGATTAATATATAAATAATTCTAAAGCTTAAATTAATGCTTTATAAAAATAAAGTCAAATATTAATCAAAATTGATAGAACAATGTATTAATTTTAATATTTTGAGATAATATAGGATAATAATAAAGTAATTTAATATTATGTTTGAGCAGTAATCTAAAGCAACAGAATATTTACATTTGATTTTAAATATAGCTATTTCCTCTCTTTTTGCAGTATTGGAATAGCTAATGTGTAATATTGCAGGGGCAATAATTTGGGATCTAGTATTTATTCCTTGTGGTATAATATTCTCATTACTATACATAACTCAATATTTTCATTGGAATAAAGGTATAACAAATAGATTCAATTAGGTGATTTATCTTCATTTTTTTTTTGGGTCCTAGTAATGAAGAGAATATTTGTTTTTGGAATTAATGAAGGAGAGTTTATCTACTTTTTATTTGGATTATTAAATGGAATTTATACAAACAAATTAAATGTTAAGGATAAGAAAAAGTATTATTGGAAGTCTAAAACAATCATTTAAGTTTTAGTTTTATCTGCTTTGATAATATTTAATTTGATGCAAGAAGATAGAGAATAAAGTATAACTTTAACAATAATTATCATAATTGTTTCAATAATAATAGGCATTAATGATAATATTGATTTATAAAATTAAACAACAAAGTCAGAAGAATATTAAACAGATTTAAAACACCATTAATTTGAAATTAAGAAATCTCAAACTACAATAGTTTAAATGTAATAATAATAATAGCAATATTAATAATAGTACTAATAATATTAATAATTATAATAAAAATCTAATTGGGAATAATATTAATAATAAACAGATGAGTGGATTTGCAAGATGGATTTGAACAAATATTCCTTAATAGAAAGTTTAAATTCTTGTGAATAAAATTATGCAATGAGAAAATCCTTAGGGGATTATAAAATTTCAATTTAATAATTATTTCAAAATTTAATGATTACAAGCCAATCTACTAATTTATAATAATCAATTAATTTATGGTCAGAAATATTGGAAACTAATTCATTGTAAAATTGGCTTGAAAAAAACTTTTTTTCAGAGAGTTCAGCAGGTAAATTAGAATAAGCCAGATAAAAATAATATAGATATAATATTGATGGTATTTAAGGAATACAAGAGGATTAATTATCAATAATTTCACCTTATAATGAAGGTAGAAACAATTATAATAGAGATCAAGTTCATGAATTATCTGGATTATCAGCTATTTAATAACATGGAGATATGCAAGGATCTAATTCAGTTTTATCTAATAAGACAACTTTAGGTTGTTATTTTTTGATAAATTAACTAAAGATAGAGATGAGTGTATCAATATTTTTGATGGAAGATGAATTAGATACTAAAAAATCAATTTTAATTTTGGTAATAAGAAATATTGACAAAGAATTTAAAAAAATGAAAACAAGTATTGAGAAAACTGAATAATAGAGAATTGTATTCTATAAATATATAAAAAGAGTAGCTGATGATGTTAGTTAGATATTATAATAAATAATGCATATAAAAATGAAATTAGATTAGCGTTAAAAGTAATATATTATAATAAACTAAAAGAGAATTTGAAAAGATAAAGTAAAGCAACTTTATTTCATTATCTTTTTGTGATGATAATGCATTTGTCAAGTCTGAAAGAATGATAGGAGATGTGAAACTATCACAACATTTATGTGTGCCTAATTAACCTTCTGGATTAAACTTAAATTAAAAAGTGACGTCATCTATAAGTTAGAATCATGATACTTAGGAGGAATAATTATAGAAATTATATTCAATTTCATTACCAAGTGAGTTAATAAAATAAATAGATAAATGGTAATCAAATTTATTATTGATGGAATAAAATAATTTTAATTTTTTTGAATTATTTTCAACTATTGAATTTAAAACTAATAAATTTAATTTTATTAAGAGTTTAAACAGTGTAAAGGATTTATTTAAACATGATAATTTTATATCAAAATATAATATCACAATTTCATTTGAATTGCATAATGAAAACGAAATGGTATTGACATCAGATAAACGAAAAATAAAATAAGTGCTTATGAATATAATAAAAAATTCGATTTAATCTTTTGATTATAATTAATCAAGAAGTTAATCTGAAAAGTTGACTGTTATGTCAACCGAATAAAAATAAGATATAAAATAATAAGAATTAAAAGTATAAAATACTATCATAATAAAATCATGGGCAGATGAGGATAAAATAATTGTAGAGGTAATTGATAATGGTGGAGGAATTAAATAAGATATGCTCAAAAATAGAATCTAAGATTGTAAATTAGGATTACAAGCATGTCGTAAAATTTTGAAACATCTTTCACATGATCCTAGGAAACCATTAGAGATTATTAATTATGTGAAAACTAAAGATGGAATCAAGGGAACTCTTGTACAATTTACTTTATCTAAATAATTTGTACCTACTTAATCAAATGAAGAAAATGTATTCTCTGATTCATTGACTATGAATAACAAAGTTGAATTAAATTGATATAAATTTATTATTATATAATATCTCCTAATAACAGAGTCTTATCAAAAAAAGATTACATAAATAATATTAAAAATTGGTCATTTAATTATACCAGAGTTGAAATCATATAAAATAATTCCTCAATAATTATAATAAATATTTCATTAAAATTCAAAAGAATAATTACTTGTGAGGAATTATAACAAGATGGTATTGGTATTTAAAATCATTATCATTAATTTTAAAATGGTTAATGGAGACTTAACACACATCTATAATAATAGAATAAGTGATGACAATTATTATAGAATATAAATTTATATATTTAAATCTATTGTCAATATTTATGGAATGGCTTAGAAGATTTTTACTTTAAGAATATTATTAATAGCATCAATAGTTATTATTGTAATAGAAGTGATTATTGCAGATGTTGAACATGTATATTTATTTCAATTCTTATTTGTACAGATGTTGAGAAAAGTATTAATTGTTTTTAGAAAGAAATAATATATGCAGGAATAATAATAAGATTCTATTCATGATAATCATATTTAATTAATTGAAAAATGATATTAAAGGTTTCATTTAATGGATTTTAATGATGAATTTGTTTTTAATGCAGTTGATTATTTCATCTATTTTATTGGTGTTATGTTTGATTTTAGTTTGGCTAGTTAATTCAAAGATTTAGAAATTGATAATACACTTCTTCTACTTGGACTTTTGTTTATACCATTTAAATTGAGATTGGATATTATCTATTCTAAATTGTATTTTTATTCCTACAATTAAGATAGTTAATTATTCATTTACAATATTTCCTATTCTAATTAAGCTTTATTTGGTTTTATCTTATTAATCATTTAATCTTAAACCATTTATATTTATTATTTTATTTCAAAAACCTTATTATTTATTTCATTTTCTTGTTTTTAAAATTAATCCATTTTCTTTTTAAATTCCTATTCCATATACTAAATTTCCTATTCTATTTTACTAGTTCTTTCTAGATAATGTTTTTCATTTTAATTCAAATGTTCAATCTCTCTTTTCAATTTACTTAATTATTAAACAACTTATTTGAATTAAGGTAATATCTATTGATCAACCATAAATATATTTGTATTTATTGCCTATTCAGAACTCTCATATTTTTCAATCAATTTCATAATATTAATAAATTGCATCTATTATTAAAATTAAATTAATACATTTTCCTTATCTTATATCAACTAAGTTATTTCTTATTAAATACTGACAAGCATCTTATCATAATCTTAATGCTCTTTCATTTATTATAACTATTCTTTATTCATAGTTTTGTACATATCATAAGCTTCTAAGGCAGACTACTCTATCATACTATGGAATTAATCTTAAGCACTTTCTTAAGTTTGAAAAAATACATTTACTCATTTATTTTGAATTGTTCTTATTACTCTTCAAAATCTTTAATCATTAATCTTTTCATCTGAATTTAATTATCAATTTCTGATATATTATTCTAAATCTATAGTTCCTCTCCATATTATCTTAGTGTTTATTTCATTTCCTATAATTAATTTTATATTAATTTCTATTGCATTGAAACTATTATAAATTATTCTAATTATGTAATGAATTCCTTCATGCTTGCCCAATTAGTGCCTTAATTTGAATTCTTAAATAAATTATTTCTAAATAATTAAAGATAATGTGTCAATTTAGTATTAAAATCACTTTAATCAATTGATTACACATCATTCTATTATAAAAATTCTTAAAATAAATTGTCTGGATGAGCTAAATTTAAACTTTTATGTAATGGAATAATTTTATTTCTTTAAACCTTAATTTTTTAATTAGCTTAATGTAATTGAACTTCTAATAATGTAGCTTAATGTTACAATCCTAATTATTATTACTTTTCTTCTCTCTATTATTATAAGAGTTTAATCTCTTTATCTTATATTGCTATCTAATTTCCATTTTCTTAATGTTTTTTACAATTTGTAAAGTACATCTAAGAAATCATAAATAATTATTCATTTTAATTCTTAATTTATTCAACAAATTCTTCCAATTCTTCTTTTTATCCTACTAACTCTGCTCTTTGTAATAAATGAGTGTTTAAGTCCTCTTATAATATTTGTTTAGTTTCTATCATTTAACAATATAATTCGTTAGCTGATTATTTTTATTTAATAAATCCTTAATGCTCTTTATTAATAGTTTCATATAAACTTTTAAGCTTATTAAATTCAGATTCATAATAATCAAACACTTAGCTTTACTATCTATCAATATCTAATTAGATTTAAGAATAGCTATTTTATAATATTAATAATTACTTTTGCTCTTCTAATCTAAGATCTGATAATTATTTTTGAAGACTGTCATAATCAATTGATTTCATAGTATTATTTCCAAGCAATACATTAATCTTTTATTTTATCAATTGTTGGTAATTATATATACGTTTGTTGATTTAATCTAACTATTCAAATAGGTAATCCTATTCATCGTTTTCATCTCTTTTTTTTGCAGGGCTATCTGAAATGAATTTCTAAGATAACATAGTTTAACGATAATATTATTTAAAATTAAATTTGTAAGTTTTTTTTCATTTGCCACATTTAATAAAGAGAAACTAGAAATAGTCAAATATTAATATTTTAAATATTCAATGACTTCTTATTGTGATACAACTCCTTAGAAAATGCTCTAAAATTATAGCACAGATCATTCTTAAAGATATGTCTCTCCATGTAGTGATGATTCTGACTAAGACTCTTAGAATCTAATTAAATAACCTACGATCAGAAAGAAGAGTTTTGCAACTCCTGGTGATAAAAATGATTAATCTGATGGCAAAAGACAATAATTAAGAACTAAATTCTGTAGGAACTTTCAAGAAAAAGGTTATTGCCAATACAAAGACAAGGTACATTTAAATGAAATGAAAGTGTTCTTTTATACATGAGCCATACAGAATAGAGAACTTTACCAATAGACGAACTAAACCTTGTAGATGTTTCTTTTCAATGGGTGTTTGCCCATTTGGTCTAAATTGCCAGTATGCTCACTATGAAGTTATTGATAAAGAGGAACTACGAGATTTTGTTGAGAAGACTTTTAGGGAATAAAAACTTATGGTTCCCCTACATCCAAGTATAAATTTAATCATCATAATTAGATAAATTGTAGCTAGATATCAGAAAAGACCTACAAAGATTTTAACATTTGTATAAAATTTTTGGAAGAAAATTAAGTTTTAGAAGAGATGATTTACTTGTCAATATATGCAGAGAGTATTATTATATTCTATATAAAAAGAAGAAATTCCATTTTCCTTAGACTTTGCTAAAGTGAGGTACAGGAATTCGATGACCTTCTTTAATGATTCACCTAATATATATATATATATAATTATTCTATAATACTAAAATCATTTATAAGGTCTAATCAATAAAATAGAATAGAATCTAAATCTATGCAGATTAGCATGCCAAATATATATTAAAAATTTATTTATTTAATAAATAGAAACTTGATAAATCCCTCAAATATCTTAAATAAAATTCAGTCTTAACTATAAGATTCAATCAAATATATTAGAATAAGAATTTTAATAAAAATATTTTAAAAACGATAAATATAAAAAAATTATTATCATTATATAAATAAATTAAAATCGAAATTTTGATTCATTCAGTTTAATACAGTGCCTTCACCATAGGCAATATGTTTTAACCATTATCTTTCCATTCCTCAATACATTATTAAGCCCAAGAAGTATAGACTTATTTTTCAGATTAATTTCTCTATTACATTTGTACAGATTCCTTCAATTCTTACATATATTAGTTTCTACGTTGCTACTTTTTAGCTTCCTTGTATAAATACTCATATTACTATCTATATTTTCTAATATTCTTATAAATCTTTATTCCTTTTTTTCAATACATCATTTTATAGCTATTCAACTTATTCTAATTACTCTAATGCTTTTAATTTTTATTTAAAATCTACTTCCTATTCAGCTTATTAATTAGCCTTTCTTTATTATTAAATTTAAAGTTATTTTAATCTCATAGTTTCTGCATCCTAAACCATTTATATTTTTTCTAATTCTTTCTATTTAATTTCTTCATCTTATTTTTATTTAAGTTCTTAGGCATGTTTTTAAATGGTTTACATATAATTATCTTCTTATTATTTTTATTGTTCTACTCTAAGATCATAAATCTATTTTCTCAATTATTCTTTTTTCTACTATTTCTAATTTTCCTAAATACTATAAAAGTTATTTTATACTCTATCTTTTCTCATCTATAATACTTTCTCTTTGTGATATTCATGCTCAATTATTTTCTTATCCTCTTCTTCTAATATACTTTTTTCATTTTCTTATAATTCTCTTCTCTTTTCCATAAATTCTTCATGTTCTTTGAGTAATTTTTACTACTTATTTTTGATATCTTATTTTTATTATCTAAATTATTCTAAATGATTACTCTCTAAGTATTTCATCTTCTTCTGCTTTTTTCTTAATTAATTATCCTTCTTGTTTATCTAACATCATTTCCTTCAAATATCTCTCCTTAACTTACTTATGTTAATCAGCTAAGATCTCATTGCATTCTTTTTTCTTCTTTGCTTATTTCTCTTTTCTAATCATTAATTCCTATTCTTTATAATATTCTTTCATTTCATATTCTTTTTCCTTTTCTTCTTCATGTATTATTTTAAGTTCTTTTTATTCTTTATTAATTGCATTTAATTATTCATTAATTCTCTCAACTTCACTTAACATCATTTAAGCTTTTAAATTACGAACACTATATTTTTGTAAATTTTATCATACTCAGCTCTTTAATCAAATATTTTTTAATTTGATTCTTTTACAAGTTCATTTTTAAGTCTCTCTTAATATTCTTCTTCTTCTTTATCAACTTTTCTTCTTTCCTCTTCTTCTTTAGTAAATCTCTCTAATTTTTCAGCCTCTTTTTATTATCTCTATTTAGTTATTCTTTAAGCCCAAAGTCTTTAATTATCAAGTGTCTATTAATGTAGTTTATGTTACCTTTTTGATTTGTTTTTCACCTTAAATATGATTTTTAATCTAATATAATTCACTTAAACCAATAACTGATACTGAATTTATTTACTCTTATTTAATACTTGGTAATTAAACAGATTGCTAATTTACTTAAATTCTTAAAATACAACTTTTGATTAAACAGCTGCCTACTCTTCTGTTGAATATCTTGATTTTTATTTACTCATTATTTTATATAATTAAATAATAGTGAATATTATAATCCATATATTTTATACTTAATTAAAAAAAATAACATTATAAATTTAATTTATTTTTTATATATATTAATTAATTGGTATGAGAATGTGAATTAAAACAAAATCATTATTGAAGGGTTTATAGATTTTGTGAAGGTTTCTTTTCTATTCTTATATTTGAGACTTCAAAATATTTTGGCATCGAAAATTTTTTTTTTATTGATGCAAATTATTTTTTATCTTGATTTTGTAATAAACTGCACATTTCTTTTGCGCAATTTCTAATTTCTATTTCATTTAAACCAGTAAGAGGAACCATCTAATCTTAATTCCATGATGGATGGATTCTTCTAATCTTATGGACCAAATAAATAGAAGCACTAGCCAAAACATTATTTGAAAATTTGATTAATGAATATTCTAAAATTGATAGTTCTATTAAATATCTAAAAATAATTTAAATATTTATATTACCTTGCTAACATATAATTTTTTTAATCTAATTTTGCTGTTTCTTAATAAACATTCAACATTCTTAAAGGACTTGTTGTAAGTAAGTCAAATCCCAATAATGAGATTATTTTTCCTTCTGTTGCTAAAATCTCTTCTTTTGTATATGCATTATCACAAACATAAACAAGATCCCTTACATGAGGAACAGAATAAACTTCTTCGTATTTTGATGCTATAAATAAGGCTGTAACTCCATAAAGTTAAAATTTGGATTTCGATATCTATTGAATTTCAAGTACTCTCAAATTAATACTTTATTTACCTATCAATTATTGAAATAGTTAAAAATAATGTTTCTGTATCTAATTTAAATTTAAAATGAACATCGACTATCCAATCAAGTAAAATACTGCGCATTTTTTCTGTAATCTCAGTTTGAAATTAAAAAGCATTCATTTTGTAATTTGATCGACACTACATTAAATTAGGTTTATTACACTTTTTTCTTTCATATATGTCACTATTTCCTTTTTATATGCATTGACAGATTATGGATTATCAATTCTTTAGGGCAATAAAAAACTTTTATTTGTTAATAATGTAGTAACTCCACTTGTAATACTGAGGTTTCTTCCATTACGTAAAGGCATAGGCATATTAGAATCTGTTTTGACTCTATGAAATCCTTCTTTTGTACGATTACTAGATTCATCATTCAATTTCAATTATGGTTTTTAAGGTGGAATCATAGTATGGAATGAGTTTGATGACTTGTCTCTGAGTGCCATTGATGACTATACTCTTTGATGTTTGGTGGCATAGTTGAAATTTTCTTTATCATAATCAGCAATGCAAAATAAGCGTGGGATTTGATTTGTTTTCATTTTGAATATAAATTATTTAACGGAAAAATACTATTAAATTAAATTAATTATTCATTTACGAGTACCTTTGGCTCTTAAATCGTAAAACTTTTTTTCTACTTTTTTATCCATCTCTTTTTATGTTTTATTATTTGAAATAAAACCCCACTTTCAAATTAATATTAATTAAAAAATACCTCTTCTTCTATTTTAGTAATAGATGTTTATTAATCATTATTACTATGATTATCAACCGAAGGCCTTGATCTTTTGTATATTGAATTATATCTGCTGTTTTATTCTCTAGAATTTGGATAAAGAAAAAGTTTCTACTATCCATTTTATGGATCAATTTTTATGGAATTGTTTGAAATATTGTGAGGACTATTATCATCTAATTAACCTTTCTGTTCATTTTCTTCATAATCCATTTATATCAAAGTCAATTATTTTGATGTATCCTTTGGTGGATCATCATTATTTTTTTTTTTAGCACTTTAATTATGAGGCCAACAACTAGGATTAGTAGTAGTTTATCTGAAAATGTTGTCTGTTTATTTTTAATAAAATAGAACATAAGCATATTAATTAACTATTGCTTTTTCCAAATCTTGAATCTAGAATCAGATTAATAATACCTTAAGAACTGAATCATCATTATACATATACCATTAATTATCAAGTCTATGTTTACAAATGGAGATATAATGACCATATTATAATGAACCATGATGTTATGCAACTGCATATAAATTATAAATAGTGTTATCCTATTCAAAACAATAAGGAGACATATTTAAATCATTAATAGGGAAATTAACCTTTTAAGTTATTTTACCTGTCTATTTAGATCCATATTCAAATCTCTTAAGATGAATAATTAGAATATTTGGTAATTTCCATATTTAAATCCCTTTTTTACAATCTCTAGTTTCTTAGCATTTAGGACATTTCCATTATATTGTTTCTTCTTATTAAAATTGATCTAAGCATTCTGTTAATTAGCAAACAGTTTCTTATTTTAACTAGGAGCTCCCAAGTGATTTAGATAATTATTATTATTATTATTATTATTATTATTATTTAATAGGCAAATTTAGAAATAAGAATGGTTCCCATTTATGACTTTGATAACGACATGTTTTACACTCCACTTTAGATTTTAACTATCCCTAAAACAAATCAACCACAATACTCTTATTGATTTTTAGATGTTCACCCCATGATTCTGCAGCCCATTCTTCTTTTGGTTCACCTATATAATCCTTTTCTTTAATTATCTCCTTCTTTTTACATCTATTCAAATCTTCATGAATAATATCTAATAAATAACTCAACAACTCTTGACAATCCTCCTACTCTAATTAAATGTGTTAATAATTTACATCCTATTTCAAATCTCTTTGAGTATTTCTAAATCAGCATCAATAACTTCAAAGGATCTACCCAATTCTCATATAATTTTTATTTATTTTGCTAATCCGAAGGTTTACTCTTATGTTCTTTACTTGACATTCCAATACTTCTTTCATCCTTCCAAATATCACTCAATAATTAAGCAAAACATTCAGTAACTTACCCTCTTGATCCTAATTTGCTATTCTTGTTAATTTCCTTTTCAAAAACTTTTGATAACATATAATCAAGTAAAGGCTATGTATGACTTAAACAATGTATTGCGCAATTGAAATAACAAGTGTTACCTAAATTCTTCAATCCCACTACACCATGTATTACCTTAATTGGCTCTTTATTCTCCTCATTTCTTAAAGTTAATGGGATAGTAAGATAGCCTTATTTAAGCTTCTAATATGGATCTGATATTTTTAATTTCTATTTATCTGTTGTCTTTAAATTAGCCAAATGATTAGATGATGATTCTACATAAACAACAGGAATTGTAAGAGATTTACCTGCTCCACTTCCCATATTAATAAAATATATTATTATTTAAGTAATAAACTTAGAATCTCTAATAAGAAAATTAAGCTATTCTTAAAATATTATAAAATCCTTTTATAATTTCTAATGCCATCCCTATATAGATTTTATAAAAAACTCATAAATTTTTAATAGTTATTATTAAAATTTATCTATAATATAATAAATCTATTTAAAAATGACCTTGAAAAACACTTTATTTTATTTATATATCTCCTTAATTCTAAATAAAAACAAACAAGACTGATATAAGAATAAATGAGATAAAATAAGTACATTTAATTTAAAATTAAGTAGAATAAAATTAGAAAAACTAAGAATAATATAGATTAAGATAATTATTAAAATATGTTTGAATGAGAATAAATAACATATGAATAATTAAAAATAATATTTGTTAAGTTTATCAAAATAAAGTTTATCTTATAATATGAATAATTTAATAACCACATTACAAAAATAAAAAAGAAAGATTTATTAGACTATTATATAACTTGCTTAATTTTATAAATCCTCCTTTGTCTATTACTCACTCAAATTTAGGTTTTGGAAATAATTGATCATTAGAATTTAGACAATATCAATTTTAAATTAGGTATACTTATTTTGTAATATTTCTCCACAATCGTCTATCAATAAAGTATCATTTATTTTTACCTACTTATTCTCCATATTTTACAAGATTTGGGAGAGTTAATAGGGAATTACATGAAAAGTTTGATCATTTTGAATTCATATCTTTCATCTTCATTACTAACCAATTTTTATACTGTTTGAATTCCTACTTATCTTAATATTCAAATATTTTTTTATAGATGATCTTATTTTATCTATATTTGATTCTAATACAGTGATTGATATATAAGATTGATTAAACAGCATATTGATTTATAAAAGAACTTTTAAAAATTGATAATTTTATATATTAATTGATTAAATATGATTTAAATAGAATTTTGCTATGAGAATAAATATCAAAATCATTTTAGGTTATGATAATTAGTATTATTTAATAATATATATAACAATATAGGATATAAAAGATGAAGTAAAATAAAATATTAATTTTTAGTATATAGATTTTGTTTTATTATTATTTATATTGTCTAATTAAATTGAATAATGGTATCTAACTTATATATATTAATTTTAGAATAGTAAACTTAGTAAAAGGTCAAAAAAGAGTCTTTTGACAGAAGAAACCTAAAGTAAAGTTAAAATTTATTTCTTAGATAAATAAAGAAATGAAGAATAGACTGAGTCTATAGTAAAAAATGTACGTAATGGTGATGCTACAAATCCAGAAGTAGTTGTAATTGGTGAAGGGGAATTGTAAAGAATGAAAGTATGAAAATATAATATCTATGTTATCAGAATAATGCAATAATCACAACGAAAGAAGAGCAAATATATTAAAAGAAATTGCTTGAGGAATAAAAAGAGAAGTAAATGGCTGCTGCTAAAGCAAAGAAATAACGTATGATTTAAATGGAAGAAGAAAAAAAAAAATAAGTTCCGTTGACATCATAATAAGAGGAGGATAAGGTTGTGAAAGATTCACTTCTTGCAAGAGTATTTATGGATCTAATATGTATCTTAGGCAGCAGAAATAATGAATGAATAAATGGATGATGTTAAGGAAATGAATAAGATGGTTATGTATGCTAAATGTGTAACTGTTCGAGATAAGCAATTAAAAGAAAAAAAAGAATTGGTTGACTAATATAAAGTTTAGGAAAAGAGAAAGGATTTGATGATGGAAATAGAAAGGTTGAAATCTATTAAGTATCATGAAGAAAAAGATAAATAAAGAAAAATTGAATAAAAATAAGGACATGATATTATAATTGAATAAATTAAAGAGAGAGAATTAATTAGATTAAAAGATAAAGAAGAATAAGAAAGAGAGGGATAAATTATGCTAAAAAAGATTAAGTAATTACAATAGGAAGAAACTTAAAAAGCAATGCTAAAAAAAATATCTTAATAAAAAGTATAAGAAGAAATATTAGATGCAAATGATAAGGCTATCTTAGTTAAAGAAAAAAGAAAATTGGAAGAAAGAGAGGAAGAAGAAATGATAGTGAAATACAATTTACAGAAAGCATAGAAAGAAGCTGAAATCTTAGAGGAGTAAAGAAGAATTAAAGAAGAGAAAGAACGTGAAGTTTAAAGATTAAGAGAAATGCAAGAAAAGGCATAAGATAGATAAGCAGAATTAGATGCATTAAGAGCCAAAAGAGCTATGGAATAAAATGAAAGATAAGCAAGAGAAAAGGAAAGAAAAGAAGCAGAATTAAAAATGCGATTAAATCATGATGTTCATGAAGCAAGAAAATTATAATAATATGAAAAATAAGAAAGATTAGAAGAATAAGTAAAATTTGATTTTTATTATTAAGGCAAGATTAGAAAGGGATGAATTTTAAAGAGTTATTCAAAAATAGAAATAAGAAAGAGAAAACGAACTTAAGTTGTTACATGATAAGGAGGCACTTGTTAAAAAACATGCAGATGAATTAAGAAAGTAAATATCTTTGAATGAAGAGAAGAAAAAATAAGAAGAAAGAGATAAGTATTTTACTATTAATAAATTAGATTAGAAGAAGGTAAAAAGATAAGAGATAAAATGTTGAATGAAAAGAAACTGTTAGAAAATATTAAAGATACTAAATTAAGAACTTTAAATGATAATGGAATCGCTGATAAATACAAAGCAGAATTAGCTCGAAAGAAAATTAATATATTAATTTGATCAAATGATTATTTGAAAATTTATTTTATTTATCATTAAATATCTGTATAAGAAAGAATAAATAATTTATTATCTATTAAAAATCTATTAATTTTATATGTTAAATAATACTTTCGAAGTATTTATTATATTTATTTAAACTATTTAATTAATAATAAAATTTTATATCATAACAATACAAATTATATAGAATAATTATGTAATAATGTAAATACACATTTTTATTAAAAAAGGTTGCATCACCATTAAATTCAAGGCTTATTAAGGATTTGAAATGCAAAGCTTTGAAATAAAGAGGATAAGATATTAAAAAAATGAAATTTTCAGTTTTTGAACTTAAAAAACTGTATTGATAAATTACAAAGAAATTAATTACTATAATATTAATATTCATAAATTGACGTTCTAGAGAATACCAGATTATCTATTTTAATAATTTTAAGTATCTCGCTTATTTTTATTAAAAAAGGTAATCTAAAAAAATATAAAAATTATAACTTTTAAAGTTTTATCTTTACTGGCTGTGTATAACATTTCTTCTTCGTCATTCCAATATATTTTAGTTATAGGACCATTATGAAGTTATATTTCATAGATAGGAATTTTCTTTTCAATATCCCATACAGTAACAAATCCTTCTTAATTTCCTATGTAAACTTCTCCTCTAAAAAGGGACCAAGCTATACATCTGCTTTTAATTTTATTTTTGAATTATGTAGCTTCTTGTACCTAAATTTCCTTAATTAATTTTTATAAATACTTTATTAAAAATATTTAGTATAATAGCTTAGCCTGTTTAAAATCCAATAGCTATGATAATGTCTTAGGATTTTTGAATAATCAAATCTCTAATAAATTATAAATTAGTATCAAGATTGATTTTTAATGTAGCCTAATGATAAGCATAAATAATTCCTCCTCTATCTCCTATAAATGCATAATCTCTGGCTTCATCATATTTTAAACAAGTTAATTCATGCTTATGATAAAGATCTTTTATATATGATGATATTTATAATACCTATAAAAGTATCACCCTTTTTGATATTCATTACACGATATCTTTAATCTTTACTTACTGAATATATATTATCTCCATAAATATGTAAACCCATAATCCTAGCAGTATGTTATTGATAATCATTAGATTCTAATAAATGTTTTTTTGATTTAAATTAAAGATGGTTGATAATTCCATTATCTAAACTAATGATATATTTATATGATTAATTTACCCAACTAAAATATTGTCTTTTATTACACTCATACTAATTGGTTATGAATTATATTTCTTTCTCCATATCATCTATGGTCCAATTAAACAATCTAAATATCCTAATGGTTTAAGATTAGATATATCAATATCTTCTTGCCAAGGAAATTTCATATTATGAAAATTTGTAGTTGCTCTATTTAATGGACTCATTTCACCAAGTAATACAAATAGTGCATCTTCATAAAAATAAAAATCTCTAAGACCCAAATCAAATGTTCTTACACTATCTAATTATAGTTTGGAAATAGTAAATGAAGGAGATTAGATGAATTCTTTAAAAATAATTGAGTTTAGAATTTGTTCATTTTATATAATTTACTTAAGGTATTACTCTAATCCTTTTCTTCTTTCAATAATTTCTTATTCAGTTTTTTTAACAATAAAAGTTGTATAAGTCTATTTAGGTAGTAATGGAATTGTGTTACCAAAATATTCACTTAATCTTTAATTTAATTGCTTAAACTAATTAAATCTAATACTCAATTATATGATGATACCTTTTCTCAATTCTCCAAACTTTATCTCCATCATTTATTTCTATTTCATATAAAGTAACTTTTTCATTATCTAAGCTCGGATAGTGTTTTTTAATAAGGATCTTTTTTCATTAATTTTTTATATAATACTTCCATAAAATCTAAAATTTAGTTTATAAAATAAAAATTATATCATATTAATACAATAAAATTCAATTATTTTAATCCCACTATTCTATGTCATCTAAACTTTTCTTTTATTTTTCAATAATGATTTCACCATCCCATCTTTTAGGTAGACATATAATTTTTATAGTTTTATCCTTACTTGAAGTCATTAAAATTGAAGCATCTTCATTCCAAATCATTTTTGTTATTTCATTTTAATGAACTTAATATTCTTTTATAGGTGAACAATCCTTTGCACTCCAAATAGTAATTGTACCATCACTATTACCAATAAAAACTTCACCTCTACTACTTGACCAACATACACATCTACTTTTATCTTTATTTTTGAATTATGTAATCTTTTTTGTATTTTTTTCCTAAATTAATTTATTCTCTTATTACCTAACCAATACCTCCAATATCATAAACAATAGTAGAACCAGTATAAAAACATATTCCTATTAAATAATTTTTAATTGGATCAACTGCTAAATCTCTTAGAAATTAATCATTGAAATCTAAGGTAATTAATTTAGAAGAATTTTGAAATATCATAATTTATCCATTTCTATCTCCTATAAATGCACAATTTCTTATTTCATTGAATTTAAGACAAGTTAATTCATAATTGTGATGATAATCAACTTCTAATTATCCTGTTTAAAAATTTACTACTCTATAGTTTTAATCCTTGCTAACAGAATATATTAATTAATTAAATAGATACACTCCCATTACTCTACTTTAATGTTATTCAATTTCATAACTTGTATTTATTTTTCCAGGTAATATAGTTAAATAATTGATCATTCCATTATCTAAACCAATTAAAAGTGATTGATTATGAAAATATAAACAAATAGCTTAAGAATTATATTTTTTTGTCCAACTCTTAACTGAATGTTCCCAGCATTCTATTGAACCAACTGGAACTATTGCTTCATCATCTATAATATTCTAAATATATGCATCAAATCTGCTTAAAGCATTAGTTTCTGCATTTAATATAATCAGTAAATCTTCACTATAATAAAAATCTCTTATTCCAAATTTAAAATTTTGTAAAATGGTTACTTAGATTTTACTTTAAGTTAAATTTAAAAAACTCTAAAATTAACCACTATTTATAATTCTTTCATTTTGAGAAATCACGTGTAAAAATTTTTCTAATTCCTATCTTCTTTGGTCTAATTCTTAGTCAGATTTACCAACTAAAAATGTTATATATTTCTTTTTAGGTAAGTCAGGTAATATATCTCCAAAATATTATGTTAAACTGTCCTTTAATTTTTTAAATTCGGAATATCTATCTAAATAATTTAAATACCTCTTTTATACTACCCATTCTTTATTCTAATTTTGTATTTTTATTTAATAATGAACTGTCCTTCCATCTTCTTCACTAATTAAAAAAGAAGGAATAGATAGTTTATAATTTAATTACATTAATTTAATAATGAGCTCTTATAATTATAATATTACAAATATTTTATACAATATTAAATTAGATATAATAATAATAAATATATCAAAATAAGAAAATATATCAAATGATATACTAATAATCAAAAATACTTTAAATATCATTCTAATTTTAATTAGATTGTAGAAATTTACATTTACTCCACCTTTTTTTCACTAATCTTCTTTCCTCTATGATAAGTGCTTCTTATGTAACTTTCTGAATATTAATTTTGACAAATCATCCAATCTCCTGTTTTTAAATTTTTATCATCATATTATCCTCTAAATTTCATTTTTATTATATTACATATGGTAAAGATCATCTGAAAAATTTTTAATAATCCATTATCCAACTCTGTATTTTCCTTTAAATTCACCTTCCTCACTTTATATATTTATAAAACTTTAATATACATTCTGTCAGAATATGTTAAGACCCATTTACCAACTTTCACTCCATATTCATAATTTCCTTCTGCTATTCCATTTTGAATTTCCTCTTTCATAAATCCATGTATCATCTATTTATCAGATAACAATTAGTTCATTTTAAATAAAAATAAAATCAAATAATGTTTTTTTTCTATTAGTTTTAAATAATCTCTATTATATTAGAACCTTAAATCTTTTTTTTTTGAAATAGAAATATATGTAGTGTATGATAAAATAGAAAATATTTTAAGGATAAACAATATTTAAAGAACTAAATCAATTTAAATATAAAATAAATAGTTCAAACAATTTTTGAATTATTTAGAAGAATAGAATAAAAGAATATTTATTTAATAAGGTTTATTGATAGAAAATAAGATTTTTATAATTAATAAGTTGATAGATTAAAGATAATTCATAAAGGATTAAAAAATATTAAATCCTATATTAGACTTCAATTTTAATAAATTATTTTTTATTGCATAATGAATAGGATAAAAATAGATTATTTAAAATCAAGATGTATAAATGTATATTATATTTTACATGACAATATTAAATAAATAGAAGGATATATCTATAATAAAAATAATCAGTTATTTGAAAATATGATTAAATTGTTCCGTTGATGATATATTTTACTTAAACCAAATATAATTATATATTCTAGCAAAATTTTGTCATAATGGATATTACCATTTCATGTTTTTGTGCCTTTTGTTGGTTCTTACTAGCTTGTGCATGTATAACTATTCTTTAATAAAATAAATCGTAAATGAAAGCATCAAATAATAACAACATGCATTAGATGTTGTAATTCATCTAAGTTAATGAGACTTACAATAATGAAATTGTAATTGTAAGGTTCATGGTCAATAAGCATGAGGTTTTGCCAAAAATAGAGTTCCAATTGAGTAATGATAATTCTGAACAATATTCATAGGCCCTCTATGATCATTTATATAATTTGAAACCAAATGAATGTAGCTTCTTATACTTTGTAAGCTATCGAATATCTATTAAAATACATTAGGATGAGCCTTTAAGTTTCATCTAGAAATAGAGATTTAATCTGATCACTTCGTTAAGCTCAAATGTTATTCTAAAATTATTAAACATTAATTATATACCCATAATAAGAACAAATTATTCCTAGTACTAATTTGAAGAGGTAGAATGTTAATTAATCAACTTAGTCTATTCAATAAGGAAGTCATTCAGTAATTGAAAAATTGAATCTCTAATGGTAAGCATAATGTAAAACAAAATCTAAGATATCTAAAGAATTACTTTCGATAATAAATGAATTCAAATCTATTTATCGTATAGAAATACTCTTGAGATCCACTTTAAAATAATTAAAGAAGGAAACCTATTAAGAATATGATGTTCTTTATGTACCAACAGACGAGTTAATAAAGTTAAAAACTAACATAGAATCTTCAATAACGGACTGCTTTCGATATTTAGAATAAATGAATAATTGTAATTAGGTTAAATGAGTAATATATTTCAGATGAATTCATATATTAACTAGTTAAAAATGTATGGTAATTATTATCAATATAAATATTAATTATTTGATTAATTAAATGGCATAATAAACCCCTTAATAATGCAAAGCTAACTTAGTTTAATAATCTATTTCAAATTAATAAAAAAATCTATGCTCAATTAATTAATCTTAAATAGCAGAAAAGGATTTATTATCCTCAAAAAAGAAAGTATAATATAATCAATCCTGTTTAAAAAGTCTATGACAGACTAATGAGTTCTTAAACAAATTGAGATAACTAATCATAACTCTCTTAATATTTTGATCATTTAGGAGGTAGAAATTTAATTAATTTTAGGCAAATGTTTATGTTCATTATGTAACTGTGGAAAACATAAATGTAATAACAAGAATTGTATTAACAAACATTAATTACATGGAAATTATACAATATATCAAAAAGAATTTGTAAAAAAGACTCAAGAAAATGGATCAAAATGTAACTAAAATATATTTTAATAACCAAAATTTACATGTAACTTAGCAAATGTGACAACTTATAAAGTAATTAAGTGGAAACTATGAATTAAGCATGATTTTTCAGGATATAATAGTAAAGTAGATTTACAGAAGAATACATCTAAACCTACTGTTAATGGTATTCCTTTTTCTGGAATATCAACTTATAATAATATGTATTTAAATTGGGGAATGGGTGACACACCTCAATTATTACCATAAAACAATCCTACTATTATCAAAGAAATGCCATTTATGGGAAAAAGCATTTATAAAGATAGTTATTAAGGAACTCAAACACTTAATGGCTAATATAATAATGAATATCACAAAGAGTTTGATCCTAAACATTTGAACCAATGTCCAGCAAAAGAGGTGTTAGAAGAGGTTGCTAAAAGTACTTAATTTTGAATTAATTTCAGAGAGTTGATTATAGATAAAAATAATATTATTATATTTTTAATTTATTTATTAAATACTCAATATGAATAATAAAAAGCCTTATTTTCATTAAAAGACAGTTAAAGATTTAAATTTAAACTCTGTATAAGATTAAACTTAATCATTCATATTGAATGATTCTTAAATTATGAAATTGACAACATAAATTAATTAATAGAATCAAAAAATCAATAAATTAATCAAAACTATTGATGACTCTAGATAAGAATAACATAATAAATTTAATCAACATTATAAAGAACTTTTCAATTCTAATTCAAAATAATACAATCAAGAAATATTAAAGGAAATATCTGCATTAAAATAGAAGTTTGAAAAAATTGAGGAAACTTAACCTTTTTAGACAACTAAATAGAAAACTCATTATTACTCATAATTACCTCCATTGTAATCTTCTTATTTTGAATAATAAAAATCAGAAAAAAAAGAGGAATCAATTTATAAATAACCATAGGATTAAAAGAATAGAGGAATTAAAAGCTAATCTATATATGAAAAAGAAATTGAAGACTTGAATTTAGAAGTCTAAACCAAACATCAATCACATAGTACTCATAAAAAATCAAAATAAAATCAATCTTAAAATAACTATACTAAAACTGAAGCATCCCCTCCTTAATCATCAAAAAGAAAGATATCAAATTCTTAGACTATTATGTCTAGATAAAAAAAAAGAATATAAAAACTAGATAATAGCAATAATTTTGATTATTTTAAAGATCCTCATAGGATTAACACTAAATAATCTTTTGAATAAGGTAAATTAAAAATAAAATCTTAATAAAAAAATTAGTTTGATTTAAAATAATCAAAATAATTATTAAGAAGATTTAGAGTTGTTTCAATATGTGTTTGGTTATCTTTAACATTGTTAAAATACTGCCAAAAGATTTGGTATTAAAAATATATGATTTTTAAAGATTGGTCATAAGAATTGATTGGTCAATTTGACTCTTAGTTTGTAAGTTTCTTTTATGTAATTAGAGAATTATTAATTTGTAGTGGATAAATTTTATAAAGAATGTATACTAAAAAAATTAATAGACAAATCATGGGTATTTAAATCACAATCTGATATTCAGATTAAATGTCATAATATTTTGGTTGTGTTGGAAATCTTCTTTAAAAATCTAATTGTTCAATCTTTAGATCTTTCTGTAGACCATATTAATTTTATATAAAAATTTTCCTTAAAAAAAGGATATTTATTATCAGGTCATAGTAGATTTGTAATAAATAGGATTAATGTAAGACCAAATAATACTCTTAAGTAATGAATGAATATTCTATTAAAAGTATCAATAATCATTAATAGATATAAATGATAATTTTGGAATATTCATATATTTAGATACTTCTTCCTCTAATTGTAGAAGGAGAATTTTGGATGAGGATGCCAAATTATAAGGAATCTCTAAAAATATTTGTATCAATTCTACATTATTTGTATATTGAGACATTTTAAAATTTACCTTCAATATAAAAGGATATAACTTATGATAATGTATTTTTATTTTATAGTTTAAAAAAGGATTGGATTCCTTTGTTCGATTTTAGTAGAAATCCAATAGATGGATTTTATTAATTGATAAATTGTAAACATCCTAAATATTCTTATAACAAAGATGGAGTTGTTTTAGGATTATATAATAAAGTTGAATTGCATCCAATAATTCTTCATAATGGATATAGAAATATTAGAGAAAACTTTAGGTAATATTGTGATTATATTTTATCTTTAATATTATGATAATTTTGAATAGGATAGATAATAATAATGATTGGTTAAATTTATTTTTTTTTAAATTAAAAAATTAATATTTAGAGAATAATTTCATATTTATTTTAATAGAACAATTATTCAATTAATAAGACAATTTAAATAAAGGTTGATGTGATAAAATATCACTCTTATTAAGAAACATTGTATTTAATGTATGATTTTAATATGCAAAATTAATTATAAAATTTTTTGGTTCATTGTATTTCCCTTAATCTCTTAATCATTGATGAATGCAATGAACTATCAAGGTATTTATTGATATGATTTTTTAATCGTATTTTTTTAGCATATCCACAACTTTCTGATGATTCAATCGAAACTGATGTTGACACTTCTGCAGGTTCCCATACTTGCTTTACAAATTCTAATTCTGTTTTGTCTCCATCACATAATAATTCTTAAATAATTTGTTCATCGAAATGTTTTGATGCTAGTTTCAAGCATACAGCTTCAGAATTCATAAAATTATTTATGAATTAATATATATTTATTAGTATTTGATAACCCCATGATAGTAATGGCAATATTAATAAAAAATTACTTATATTAAAATATTTAAAGTAGCTTGATCACTTACTTCACTTAAAGTCAGTAAATAATTGTATATAATAAAATATATCTAAGAATATAAAACATAATCAACATTTAAAGAAAAATAAAATAATACAAAAAATTGAATGCTGCTAAATATATATGTTATCATAAGAATTTAGATATATTATTTTATTTAATTACATATAAAAAGATAATTAGATATCTATAAAATTTTGTAATTGTTGTTTATTCTTCTTTCTCAGTATTTAGAGTTCAATCAAATTAGAATAATAGAATACTTAATTAAGTTGATAACAACATTCTTAAAACTAAATTAATTAGTGCTTCCATTTTCTGAAATATTGCTATTAATTAATAAAATAAAGAGTACCATTTTAGGATCATAATAATGAAGTCTAGAATACTTTTTGACTAAGATTCAAATATTATATTTTAAATTATGACTTTAAAATTGGATTTCTTTGTAAATTCTTAAAGAATCCTTCTTCATAAACTCATCTTGAGAAAACTCTAAAATATATATTTATTAATAGAAAAGAAAGAGTATATGATTGTTTATGAATAAAATATATGAAATCTTTAGGAAATGATAGTAAATTATTTGTGATGATAGTATCAATTTTTAATTTATATTGAATATTAATGCTATCAAAATAAATCTATATAGAATTATATTAATAAAGTATTAAAATAACACTGTGACGTAAAAGTTTATTTATTAATGACATCAAAGAAATTGAGTTCATAAGTAATGATGGTGTATTTTTAATAATTAAAATTACAAAATGTCCAAAACATTATTAGCTTTAGGCACAATTGCACTCCTTGGAACACTTATGATGGTGAATCAACCAGATTAACTTGACTTCGCCTCAAAATATCAAACATTCAAATAAAAATACGGAAAGAGATATTCATAAACTGAAGATGCTTATAGAATGGCAGTCTATACATAAAATGTCTTATATGCTGAATCAGTCAACTTGTAAGAAGGAAAAAGAGTTTTTGGTGAAACTATCTTCTTTGATTTAACAAAAGAAGAATTTGCTGAAACTTATTTGACTCTCAAAATCACAGAAGAAGATTTGAATCTTGAAAGAGTTCCTGCCAAGAATATTCAAGCTGCTGATAAAATTGATTGGACTAAAAATGGAGCAGTCACTGATGTTAAAGACTAAGGATAATGTGGTTCATGCTGGACATTCGGTACAACAGGAGTTTTGGAAGGTTTCTTCTTTACAACTACTGGTGAATTACCAAATTTATCTGAATAATAATTGTTGGATTGCTCAACTTTCTAAGATTTCAATCTTGGTTGCAATGGTGGTCTCCCATACAGAGCATTATAATATGTTAAGAGAAGTGGTATTACAACTTAAGCTGCTTATCCATATGTATTATTTTAATATTAATATTTAGACTGCTGTTTAAGGATCATGCAGAATTAAGGGAGGTGCTTATCACATTAAAGGAGCTGTCTAATTAGAAGCCACAGAAGAAGCTTTGATCTCATATCTTAATGAAGGACCAGTTTCAGTTGGAGTCGATGCTAGCAACTGGTAATACTATAATCCAGATACTGAAAAAATTTTCAGCAATTGCTAAGAGAGCTTAAATCATGCAGTTTTGGCTGTTGGTTATGACAAAGATTCAATTAAAATCAAGAACTCTTGGAGTACTGCATGGGGAGATAAGGGATATATTCATTTAGCTAGAGGAAAAAACACTTGTGGTGTTTATAATACTAATGTTGTTGTTGTTTGAAAAAATTAATAATTTATATTTCACAAAGTAATAAAAATTACATTTTCAATTTATTTTTGCATGTTATTTTTATAAAAACATTGGATTTCTATGAACAATTAAAGAATTAATGTATTCATTAGGAGAATATTCATAATTTTATTATTGATCTTATTCACTTAATTCTTTCAAAAATATGTCAGTTAAACAATCACGAGTCTTAATGTTTTCAATTTTTTAAGTAAATTTTTTATTTACATTTATAAATTCTATCAGATTGCTAGGATTCTTACTCACTTAAACTCTTCTATGATATTTTAATGTTTCAAAATTTGGAAGTTGATTTGATTTTTTATATTGTTTTAAATTCATTTTTTTTATTTTAATATTATAGTTTATAATTTTTTACATTAAATTTTTGCCTGGTGATATTTTACATATTTAAGAGTTTGATCAATTATTTGTCTACCTAAATAATTAAATGATGAAAGAACCTGAGAAAATCATGAAAAAGAATATCTTAAATGGACAAATTAAATACTAAGTTAAATGGAAGGGCTTTGAAGAAACTACATGGGAAACTGATGAAACTATGAAGAAATATAAAGAACTCATTGAAGATTATAATTATTTCTCATTGACTGGTGAAAGATATGATGAAAAAAAACTAGAAGAAATCAGATAATTAACTGTTTAATCATAACCAAGAACTGCTATCAAAAGAGTAGCAGTACCAAAATTAATGCCTCCATGTGAATTAAATAAAAAAGAAAAAAAGATAGATAAAATTGATAATAAACACATTGAAATTATAGACAATCCTAAAAATGATTAACAACAAGATAAATTAAATATTGTTTAACCATCTAATACTATAATCAATTTTAATGAAATGTCTAAGTATAATTTGTTTCTAAATTTAAGAAAAGCCCCATAAAAATTAGCAAATTCTAATGATAAATTAGAAACAATAAAATTACAAACTGATGAAAATAAAGGATTGTTTTCACTTATTTGGAAAGAGAGATCAGATGGTATTAGACCATATTGTGATGAATATACATATGAAGATTTCAAAACATAAGCTCCTTTATTTTTTATTTAGTTTTTTGAAACCTGTATTTTTGAATGTTAAAGTTAAAATGATATTAAGTAATTATTCTAATTAATTTAGATTTGAAATTCAAGGATAAGATATTGCTGAAAGAATTTTAGTAATTAAAGATATTTTACAAAAAAGAGATTAGGATAAAAAGATAAACCAAGTTCAATTATGATTCTTTTCATATATAAAGCATAATATAATTAAATTATTGTAAACCATATTTTTATTAATTAAATATAATAATTTTATAAAGTTAATGATAATTAATTCAATATGATCATCTCTACTCGAAGATTTCATTTAATGAGATTCTCGATTCGCTAATGATCTAAATTAAATAATCGAATTTACGTTGAGCTTTGCTTATTAATTAAGTATAAAGCATTAAATCGACTCATAATTATTCTTATATGTAAAATTCATTAAATTTTACAATTCAATCTCTTCTCTCTATTTTTTTACTTATTTATCTAGTTGACTTTCTAAAATGAGATACTAAATTATTTTATTCAAAACTAAAAAAGAATTTATTTTGATACTATAATTCAACGATTTAATTAAAAATTTAGAATTACTTTCTAAATCAATTTTTAGAATAATTATCTTAATTCAATCTAAATCAATTAATATATAATTTTTTAAAGATATTCATAGAGGAATATTATTGATAATATATGAAAAAAATTATATAATTATAATAAATAAATAAATAGAAAACTGCTATTTTTTGTTTTCAAAGGAAAATTGTAAGTTAAATTAGATATACATAATTTTTGTTGAAATTTTTATCAATACCTATTATATAGAAATAGAAATATGCAAAAATTTAGTTAACGCTATATTTCATTCTTATTTAATAATACCCATTATTAGAAGATGAAAACAAGATTTATATATATTTATATAATAAATTAATTCGTTTTTGATGCAGAGCTATTCCTTTGACTATATATTAGATTAATTTATTGGTTTTGGAAAATATCAACTACAAACATTTGCTAATAGTTGTGCCCTGTCTTGCAATTTTGGAAATTTGGCTTTGTTACTTAGTTTACTCTTAAAATTATATAAATAAGAATTAGATATCACTATGAATAAAGTAATTTTATTGGCAGTGGTTCATAGAATTGGAAGTGCATTAGCAGGTATTTTCGTAATGAAATTTAATAATATTTTGGGAAGAATAAAAATTATAAAATATTCTTTAATAGTATTGGCACTTGCTTAATTATCTGCATCAATTGCTGAAAAATATTTCATAATTTTGTTTGTATTTATATTCTAAGGATTTATGCATGGAATATGTGCATAATATAGTTAATTATTAACAATAGAAGTGATTCCTAGAAATAATAGAGGATAAATGGCTGCTTTGGTTAATCTTTTTCATGGAATAGGAAGTGGTTATCCAATATTATTATGGTATCTTTTTTGTGAAGATTATGAAAATGGGAATCATAATGCCATCCATTTTTGTAATGCTTTACTAACAATTTCTATTTACTATTATCTTAAGAAATATGGAAGAGATAATCCTAGATATTATTTATCTATGGGAAGATTTAGTGAATGTTTTTATGAAATTGATCACATATTGAAGGAAAATTAATGTGCCTATTTTGATAAACTAAACAATCAATAAAAAGATGCTTTGATTCTATGGTATGCAGAAAACTTTTCTGAAACAAAATAAAAAAAGTCATAAATATCTACTCTCTTTACAAAGAATAATATTAGAATAACTATTTATGTAATTTCAATCTAAATTATTTATTATGCTGCAACATCAATATAATAATACTTATTACCTTTTATATATCATGATAAGTAAAAGGGATTCGAATCATTATTTTTTTAACAAGTAGGTATCATTCCTGCAGTGTTTATTTAATCATTTTTTATTGATAGTCCTACTTTTGGTAGAGCTAAATCTGGTATGATTATTTCAATTTTATTATGCATTACTTATTTGTTGATTTTCTATTAATAGGATACATATATATCATAATAAGTTTTAGTTAGATTTCTATTAGAAATTTAATTTACAGTAATGTAAATTATGATCAATGAGTCATTCAATAGTAATCTTCGAGCATTAGGATTAAGTTTTTCATATGTAATAGCTAAAATATCTTAATTGCTTTCCCCTGTAATTATTTTTAAATTATATGAAACTCAAATATTTCTGCCATTTTTATTTTGTGGATGTTTATTTCTAGTTAATGGAATACTTTATGCAACATTCCCAAGAGAAAGAACAAAAAAGGCATTAGATTTAGATTTATCTGAAAGTCTAAGTTAAAGCAAAAGGAGTGATAGTGAGTATTGATTTTTTTTTCATTAATTTTAATAATAATTATTTTTATACAATTTTCTTTTAATAAATTTATATCAAGTCATTCTCTGATTATTTATTTTTATACTTACTAAAAATAATTAAAAGATTTAAGTATATAATTTATATTGAATTAGTCTTATTAGAATTTTGAGAAGGTAGAATGAATAATTGAATTTTAATTAAAGAAATAGTAAAAATGTTTTAGTCTTATTATAGTATTCAAGATTTTAGATTTTTTTAGAACTACTAATAATGATAAATAATTAATCTATATATATATTAATAGAATAGATATAGGATTTACCTGTCAATTTTTTGATAGAAGAGTCATTTCCATTTTTAATTGTATAATATTAATTAAATAATAATTTTGATGAGTGATTATAACAAACTAAAGTTGTACAAATTAACTAAACCAGAAACATTCTCTTTGTCATTTTATGATGCTTATAAAGAATACTAAGAATGGCTTAACAATTCTAACAATCCTTAAAGACAACCGCGAAAATCTCATAAATGGCATTCTAACATTACAGATTATTTTAATTATGGTTTTAATGAACATACTATGCAAATTTATGTGCATAAAATTACATAATTAACAGAGACTTATAGAAAGTATAGACTATAATATGCTGAAAAATGTGATAATTCAAAAGAAACAATATTTAATTCAGCTTAGGAAATTAGAAGACTATCCAAAGATGTTTATCCAATTGATTTAGGTGGAATATTTATACCTGTTGATGATAAAGTCTTTGATTTTGGTTTTAAATTTTAAGTTGAAAATTTATATGAATAATATAATAATTAATCTAGCAATGAAAAATTGTTGTAAAATTAATACCATTGCACTGGTGAAGCATTAATATTTAAATCCAAATTTATTTCTGATATTTATAGAAAATAGGTAAAAGATATTTAAGATCTCTATAAATAATATAAGAAAGAACATTAAAGAGATTTATATCTATTAAATACAGCAGTCAAAGTATTTCCTATTTAAAAAGAGGATGATTTTACTAATTAAATTGCATAACTTGTTAAAAATCTTGCTATTAAATAAGAAAAAAAGGATAGACATGAAAGACGTGAAAGATCAAGAACACCTAAAAAGAATAGATCTAATAAAAATTGATTTATAATTATCATTATTAATAATATATTATATATTTATATTTGAAATTCAAAAATGAGACGAAATAGAATTGGAACTAAAGCAGAATTTCTATGGGCATGTAAAATATTCCATAATAATTTTAGGGGATGTTGAAGATATCTCTCAAATGAATGGACCTTTAGCAGTCTAAGAATACATTTAAGAATTAATAAGTAATCTAACTTTTTCAATATTAGGAGCTGATTCATCTAACATAAAATAAATTATTACTCCTCCTTCTGAAGTTGATATTCATGTTTGGCAATATGAACATTTAAGACAATTTATTTTAGAATTAAATTTATTAGTTACATAATTGAAAGGATTATGCACAGCTTAAACATGTCCAAAAATGAAAGCCACAGAAGATTGGCTCTACTTATGTGCTGCACATAAAAAAGCATAAGAATGTTCAGCAATTGATTATATGATACATAATTTAGATTAGAGTACATCTATTTTAACAAATATTAAAACATATCCATCAAGGTTATAATTAATTATTATATTATTAGAGTTTCAATTAATCCTTAAAATGCTACAAATAATTTTGCTTTTATAGTTAGAAGACTCTATAGATTATTCTCTCATACATATTTTAATCATAAGGAAATTTTTGAAGATTTTGAAGTATCTAAATTAATTGTAATTTTAGAATGAAATGTTTTTATGTACAAGATTTACTGAATTTGCCTTAAAATTTGAACTTATGAGTCCAAAATTAATAACAATTCCAAAAGAAGCTTTAAAATTATGAAATTTTATTTTTTTCAATATTAATATATATTATTTTTTTAATTATATAATTTTAATTTCTTTCTATCTTAAAAGTAAGACTATTATGAATTAATATAAAAATCTCAAACATACATTTTAATAATTTTTTCAGTTAAACTATGTGTAGACAATATAAAATTTTAAGATATCTTTAATAAATGAAAGATTTCTAATTTTTTAATATCGCATTTATCATCAGTTTATATTTCCACTTCTTTTTTAAGATTCTAATAGTTTGTCTTTTATTTTATTCTTAAATTTTCTTGAAAACTATTATTACATTTTTATTCTTATTTATAATTTTGTACTGATTTACTTATATTTTGTATTTTATCTTTATTTTTTATTGTATTAACACTCTTCTTCTATAGAGTTTAATCTATATCTTTGAGTTTTAAATCTTTTATTTTTTGTAAGTCATCATATTCATCAATAACAATAATATTTCTTTTTTCTTTTCTTTATAATTTACCAGAATTTATTAAATCTAAATTTTTATGTTTATTTTTTAGTTTATCTTTAAGTTTTTTATGTTTCTTCAATTTTTTTTTATTATTTCTATCAATATCCTCTTTATTTTCTTATTCTAAACATTCATTAAAATTATCTAATTCAATCATTAAATTTTCAACTCCATACATCTTTTCTCCTTCATTTATATTTACTTTCATATCTATATAAATAATCAATTTAAATATTGTTTTAATAATTAATGAGTAGACTTTAAAAACTAATTATTCAAATGATAACTTAAAAAAAAATGATATTTATATTTAATTGAAGTGGATTCAAAAGAAATTTATTTTAATTTAAGATAATTCCTTAATTACTAAATAAATTTAAAATTATTTTATATTTTATTCCAAATTATTTATCAAATTAAGAGATTGTAATTTAAATATTATAGTTTTTTAAAATATATGTAATTTTATTTCAATTTTTGATATAATTAGATAAATTATTATTTATAAGAAAATATATAAGTTAGATATTATAGAGATTTGTAATGATTGTTCAATAACATTTTTGAATTAAGGATAATGAATGACAAAAATGTTAATAAAATTAATATTCTAATTTTTAATAATTTTGAAAATTAGAATAAAAAAATTTAAATTAATTTTTACTTCAAAGTATTCAATCTAATCTAAATATTTTTATTCCTCAGATGGAATAAAAATTTTAATATCATATGAATTATAAATAATGGTTGACATTAATTATAATATGGTAGGTAATCTGTTGAAAGATGCAGAAGGTTTAAAATTATTAAATTGAGTTTAATTAATAATTGTAATATTATTATTGAGAAATGTATTTAATATCTATTTGTATTTAAATTGAAAAATAAAAGAAAATTGAAAGAATTATAAACACATTAATTATTTTTAAAATAATATTGATATGGAATCATAGAATATATAAAAACCATATTGATTTAGAAATAAAGAACTCTTATTTAAATATACATCTACAAGTTTTGAAATATAATTTAGTTGTAGATAGGTAATTTATTCAAGTTCTCTAAATTTTAGTTATGATTTATTAAGATATTTAATTAAGACATTATAATAATCTTATAATATTAAAAAAATGGGGAATCAATGTACAGGTATTGACGATTTTTAAGGACAATAATTTGCTCCAAATATATCAGCTTAAAATGAAGTGTTTGTAGAAGGAAGAGTTCCAATAGTTGGGTAGAATCCTAGCCGATTTAATGATGATGATATTATAGTAAGCATCATTCTATAATTATTAGACAGTGTATTAATCAAACAATAATAGATTAAATTATGGGAGAAATTCTCTAGGCTAAGGATATATGACAGCCTAGAAATATAATTTAAGAGATAACATATCTATTTAAGCATCTTCTCATGTATAAGTGATTCTATAATTAATTAGGGATTGACAAATTCATAAAATGCTGCCTTAATGATAACTATAAAGAGCAATGATATCTTGTTGATAAATTAAAAAGGTCAAGAGTGTTTAAGATAAGGAATAGATTTGGTAAATGAAAATTTATATTTTAGGTTTGTTTAATTGATCATAGTGGTAGTATGTAAGGAGAGAAAATAAAGTTAGTTAGAAAAACTTTAAAATAAATGCTAACATTTTTATAGCCAGTAGATAGATTATGTTTAATAATGTTTGATTGCAGATGTTATAGATTAACAAGATTAATGAGAGTGACTTAAGAAAATGTTTAAAAATTTAGAATAGCAATATCATCACTTTAAGCTAGAGGGGGAACTGATATTGGGAATGGTATGAAGATGGCCTTATCAATATTAAAACATAGAAAATACAAGAATCCTGTATCAGCTATATTTTTGTTATCAGATGGAGTAGATGAAGGAGCTGAAGAGAGAGTGAGAGATGATTTAATCTAATATAATATTCGAGATTCATTTACAATAAAAACATTTGGTTTTGGAAGAGATTGTTGTCCTAAAATAATGTCAGAAATAGCTCATTATAAAGAAGGATAATTTTATTTTGTACCAAATCTTTCTAATATTGATGAATGTTTTGCTGAAGCATTAGGTGGTCTAGTCTCTGTTGTTGCAAATCATGTTCAATTATCAGTCTAACCTATGAATTCAAATAAAATATAAATTAAAAAGGCATATGGAGATAAATGGACTTATGATTCTTGGAAAGGAGCCTTCACACTTTATTAACCTCATCTACTATCTGGTGTGAGAAAAGATTATATTTTTGAAGTGGCTGATTACAAAACTTCTGGTAAGCAAGAAGTTAGAGTTCTTTTATAAGCTGATCCAGTTGAGGGAGGGGATAAAGTTACTATTGAATAAATTATTGAACTTAAGAATTCAGATTTATCAAATGAAGTTCTTCCTAATTATTATAGAGTAAAAGGTGCAGAATGTTTTGAATAAGCAAGATTATATGCAGAATAAGGATAATATTAAGCTAGTTAATAAATCCTTAAGAATATTAATTCAGAAATAAAATTATAAAATTTCAATGATCCAAATCTATAAGTAGTTCAAACTGATCTTGAAATGGCTAGCAATTTCTGTTACCCTGGGTATTATATATATTTATATTTAATTTAGTTAATTTGAAAATGAAGGTAGACATCATATGCATTAATTACATATTGTTCATATGTATTAAAAATCAAGAGGAGTGTAAATTAATTAAAATTAAGATGGTTAAATTATTAGTTTAGATTGTCAATATTAAAATAATCTACAAAAACAATATAAGGATTAAACTAGAGAAATAAAATAAAATGATCCTAATTATTGGAATGATTGTTGATTAATTTATTAATTTAATTTAAATTTATATATATATTATATCATTAAGAAATATATTGAATTTATATGTAAAACAAATAAATTCTCTTATTTAATTAGTCAATTTTTATTCTAAATTTAATACGTTATAATTTTACAATTATATTATTTAATATTAATTATATTATTAATATAAATTTCACCTAAAAATTTATTATAATATAAATATATTATCATAATTTCTTTATTTGACAATGTTTATTGGTTTTTTCAATAAATTTATCTAACAACTCTTAAGATAGGTCTTTTAATTCAAAATAGACTCTGAAATTCTATTCAACTTTTGATAAACTCAATTACTCTCTATTAATAAAGTATTAAATTGTATATCGTTATACAAATTGTTTTTTTGTATTAGTTTCAATTTCTGCTTTCACTTGAATCTGAGCATTGAATTTCTAACCATTATAACAAACTAGCTAAACTCTCAACTTTTAATTAGAATATATATTTGATATCTAATTTTATATAAATTAATTTTCCAAGTCCCATCCAAATGGAAATGACTGATTCCTTAATAAGTTATGAATCATCATGTCTTAATTGATCCCAAACATTTTGAGCCAAGAATTGTTGACTATACGATTACAGCCTATAATATCTTGCTTAGGATTTAAGATGAATTCATATTTTTCTTAAGGAACATCTTTCTATTTTTTACATTCTAAAGTTCTTTGTGAGTCAAAACTTGAAATATTAGTTGAAATCTCATCTAAATTAATGTAAAAAGGAAAGTCTTTCTTGATATCTAATAAATTTGTTTCCTTAAAAGGTAGACATTTTACTATGATTTCTTGTTTCTATTGTTGTATAGAAATAATTTTGAAAAGATTGCTGAATACATCTTTGTGCAAATAACTCATTATGGTTGGTCTAGAATGATCTATTTGTTAATATTTCTATTCATTTTTAGAGGAAGTTAGCTCAAAAATATATTTAGCTTCATCTTTGGAAGAAAGAGAATTATTGTAATGATTTGTTAACTTCTACTTTTTTACTTTAGACTTTATCTTCTTTATTTTTTTGTTTATGCCATCTTTATTGAGAGACAAATCATTTTGCTAACTGAATACAAAATTCATTATTCTTTAAATTGTGTACAAACAAAATATAAAAAATAGTCCTCTAAAATATCTTTTTTAATTGACTTTATGAGATAGTTTAATAAATGATATTGCAATTCTGAGTTAAAAAAGATTAAAAAAAATTCAAATTCTAATTAATGTTTATAAATGCTTATTAATTAAACTTAGATATTTTTATTATAATATAATTAATAGCAATATAACATGATAAATGTATTTGATAAATTTATATTTTAAAGGAATTCCATTTTGAAATAGGTAAATTTAAAATTCACGAAATTATGATCAACTCTATTTTTAGAAGATAAAATATTAAAATAATATTTAAATAATTTATATGAAGATCCTGAAAATTATGTTTAATTTCCAGAATGATTTCACATATCAAAAATCTAATTATTTAAATCCACAACTTCTATTAGAAAAAATTGTTTAGGAATCTTCCGATACTAACCTAGTTCTCAACTTATCCTAATTAAACCATTTTTCATTAAAATATTCTTCTTAATTTCTTAACACTCTCTATTTTGTCAACCATCTTGAATCACAATCATAAATATAATAAGCATATTCATAATAAGCATTCTGTTCTTCATTATATGTAAAAAAACTTTTATTTTATACTCTAGTATGAAATATTTAACCATTATAATTCATGACTTCTCTTGTTCTTATATCTTATTTTAAATTCCCTTCAAATAATCCAGATAGAATCTCACAAACATCATCATAAGGATCAATATAAGTTGAAAAAGGTAATATATTAGTTGATAATACATGATCTTCCAACATCATGTAACTTATTCCTAATAAATCCATAAATTTATCATTAATAACTCTTTATATAGTTGTACATACACCATTTTTTAATTTGTATAAATAACAAGTGAAAGGTTAATCCAATTACAATTCGAAGTCTTCTATAAATTGTTCTTTTGTTTACTTATATGTATTTGGATCTAAATTCCTTTAATTAAAAGCCTAAAAGCTTTAAGCAAGTCTTGGATTACATGTTTAAATTTTTTAAAAGAATTATTCAAAAGGTGTAAAAGGATTATCGATTGTTTCTAGAGTGAATATGGTTAAATTATTTTTCTTATCAATTCTAATCACTTTATAGTTATAAGAATGGGGATCAACTGACAAATTACCTAATTAAGTTTACTATTTGAAATCATTTGGAAACTAAATATTTGAGAAGAGTCTTATAACTTATTTTTCTGCTATAGAGGCAGGAATATTGAAATAAGCTTATACATAATCTTTAAGTTTGTCTGTATTAATATTTGATCCAAATTTAAATTCCACTGTGTACTAATTTCTTCTTTTGGGTTTGCGAATAGTTTTCTTCTATAAACAACTGCTTTCTTCTACAATCTCCTAATAATTTTTAGCTATAATAGACATTATAATAATTAATTTGTTATTAAATACATGATAACACTTATGATCTTACAGATTATAAATAAATCAAGACAACCATTATAATCACAATTTAATAAAATTTAAACTTATCAATATAATATTAAATTATAAAGACCTTTAAAATTGTTGCTTTTTTTTAATTCTGATTCAAATAAAAACCATATTTTTAGAAGAATTAGATATTTTTTTAATTTACATTCCAAAATATTTTGGATGTTTGTTAAAGTAATTAAAAGCAAAACTAAATGTACTCTTCTTCCTAAATTGGCAATAATTTAATTAATTTAATTTATTGAATTGTAATAAAAAGCAACTTCTCAAATAATTTTATTTTATTTAAGCAGTCTCATACTTAAAATAATAAGATTAAATTTGAGGTAAAATCTATCTAGAATTACTTTATTATAAAAGTAAGTATTATTTGATTGAAAATAATTTTATCAGAAAAAGAATCAAAATTAAATAATACTTTTATTATGAATTATTATTCTTTCTCAAAAATCCATCTTTTAGAACTTGAGTTTTTGAAAATATAATAGTTTATATATAAAACTTAATATATACTCAAAACATATCTATATATTAATATTATTCATTAAATAGTATATTAAACCTAAATTAAACTAATCAACAGGTCTAAAATACTATAAAAAATAATTATAAAATAATTATATGGCAACTTTTAAAACTCTTATGAAAATGCCTTAAGCTAAGTTAGCTTCGAAATGTATTGCATTAGAAGAGTTATTATAACGTTATTATTAATTTGAAGAGGTTCATTATGATTTACTTAATAAATATTAATTACTTTAAACTAAATATGAGAGATTGAATCAATAAAACATATAATTAATGCAAAATTTACATATTGAAAGAGATAACTTTTCATAAGCTAGTGCTACAAAAATGAATTCTTCAAAAAATTGTGTATCAAGAATACTCAAAGATCCATTAGAAGAAATGGAGAATTTACTATTATTGGAAGAATTAAAAAATGAAAATTAAAAAATAAAGGAAGAACTATAAATAAATAAGGAAGAATTAAAAAGATTATAATCAAAGTATATAAATATCTATCAAGGTTTGAATAAACATAAACAGAACTCCTTAGATCTGCATCTATAAAGACAGCCTCTGATTCTAAATTGAATTCAATTGATGAGAGAAATTATGATTCAATTCAATCATATAAAAACGAAATAATCAGATTAAATAAAATAGTAAATATTTAATTTTTATCTAGGTATCTTCCTTAAGAATTGAAATATCTCATTACAAAACAAGAGAATTTGATGAAGATTGGTTGAAGATTTAATTAATTAAATATTAAAAACAATCCCAAATGTCAAATAACCATAATTTCTTAGATTTTATTGAAAACTGAATTTACATTATGTATAACTCACTCTATTTTAATATTAATAACAAAATGCTACTATCATTTAGTTTTATCTATTTATATAATTAATAACATATGTCATTTATGAAATTTATCAAATTGGGTTAATGAAGTTTCTAATTAATCTCTTTGTTTTTCAAAATGATATTTAGGTATTAAACCAATTGTTGTTCCAATTTTATATGAACCAGGACCAACATCTTCTGGTTCTCTTATTGGAAATCTAGCAGCTTTTGGCATACTAAAATTTGTTATACGAATACCTTATTCTAGGACCTGACTATGATGATAGGGCTGTATAACTCCCAGGTCCAATTTCTTTAAATTTAGAAATTGTTGGATCACTTCTGTTACTTAAACCCATAGAAGGAACAGCTGTTTTAGGTACTGTATAATGATAAGGTGGTTTATAATTAGATTGTTCACCATATTTATAATCGTAATCTGGTTCATATTTTCCAGGGGATGGATTTTAATTGATTGTTTATCTTTCATTTTTTTATCTCATTGAAAATTTAGGACCTCCTAATGTTGAAAATCCAATTTTTTCTCTTTCCTCTTCTTTTTATTACTCAGTTTTTTCAGGAAGTTATAGATTATCATCTTCTGCTAATTCATATCTTTTAGCAACACCAAAACCATGTTAATTTTCAATAGGAACATCTTTAGGTTTTATAGTGTCAGTATTTTATATATATTAACCAGGACCTGGTTTGAGTGTAGATTCTCGAGTGACCAGATCTTATCTTTTATCTTTAGGCATTGAAATTTATTTACTATTTGGTGGTAATTTTTGATTATAAGCTAAGTAATAGTAATAGTAAATATGTACTTCCAGGACCAGGAACGTAAAAATCTGAAGTTTTAAAAGGAATGTATTTATGTCCAATACTAAATGCTTTCTTAACATTAACATTCTTAGGAGCATAAGCTCCAGGACCAGGAATTTCAGATGTTCTATAATATTATCTTTCACTTTTTGGGAATGATATTGTTAAACCTTTAGAAAGTTCATTTGATTAATATTATCCAGGACCAAGATCAATAGATTTAGGCCATACATTTTTTGGTGCTGAACCAAATCCAGTTTTTCTATGTTTAGTGTCTTACCAACTGGTAGCAGTTCTAAATTAGCTGAATGTTTCAGAATTATAATATTTATCAGGTGAAGGTCCATCTTTAGTCCAATTAAAACTTTCTTTATATCCGAATGATATAGGAGCTTATGATCTTCCAGGAATGTTTGGATTATAAGAACCAGGACTATAATAATACAATTCATATACCCTATAGGATCTTCTCTAAATTATTGCTCTTTTCCATTTACCCATGTTGGATGAGTGTCAATTTCTCCATTAGGTTTTATTTTACCTAAAGAGGTTTGAATTGTAAATTAAGCCTTTTTTTTTTCTTATTATGTTTTGTCTGAAATATTTTTGATATTTTCTTCATCCAAAATGAGTTATTTATGAAGATTATATTGTCCAACTGGAGGATTTGTAGACTTAATTGGTTTGATTCTGTCATCTCTAGAAAAATTAGATCTAGTAGATTTTTATTAACTTTGTCGTAATTTTTCAGTTATTCTAAGTGTTTCTTCAAATCTCTCACACATTCCAGTTTATTCTGTTTTTGATGCAACTTTATCATCTCTTTTAACCCAATCTGTTCTTTCAGATTGACCAAAAGTAAATGCCCCTCCAAATTAATATCCTAAAGGAGTGTTCCCTTAAAAGTTTTGATCACTATTATTAATAAACATATTATTTATTCAAAATATTTATTTCATAAGTCTTCATCACTACTTTCATCTTCCTACAATTATTCTCTATTATTCATAGTATCTGATCGAGCAATTCTTTATAAATAATTTAAAATCTATGTAACTCCATTCTATTGTCTCTAAAGTGAAGGTCTATCTTAAGGTATTGAAAATAGATCTATTAAATTTTCTTATAGTAATTATCTTTCCAATTATGAATTTTACTTTTTAGTTTTCTTTTGGACATATATTATCAATTCATGTGTAATAGGATGAAACCTCAAACATGTTATTTCCTTATTTTATTCTGAAACCTAAATACAATACAAATAAATACTTATAATATTTCTATAGGTTTTTCTGATTTTTCAATATGCCATATAATTAATTTACCAGAATTTGTTCCTGCAGCTATCAAATGATTATTAAACCATCCAAAATGATATGTAATTGATTTGATAGATTTTTCTGAATATACACTTAAGATTTTTATTATTTATAGTGTCTTAATACAATACAAGTATAATTATGGTGAATAATCATTAACATACACAATCAATTACTCAAACTATCTATTCACTTAAGAATTAATATTAATTTAATTGTTTGTACTTGTTTAAATTATTTAATTCTTAGAGTATAATTAATATAAAGTAATCTTATTTTAACTAACAATAATTAAAAGTTCTTTTATTTAATGACTATGTATATCTATGAGCTATTCTTCAATTTTTAAACCACCTTTCCTTTCATTTTCATTCCATTCATATAACCATCCATCTGTTGAAATTGAATAAATATCATATTCATTTTTCTGTTTCTTTCTTTATGGATCACTTAATACAAAAGTAAACGATTTCACTATAGCATTATGATCTTGAAGTCTATACTTCTTTTTATTTATAATATTATAAATTAAAACAGTATAATCCTCTGATGAACTACCTATATATTTACTACAAGGAGAGAATATCAAATTAGTTATTCTCTTTGAATGAACATCTTGTAATTTCTCTATTTCTTTAATTATTCCAATTTAATTAATTTAGTATAAGATAATTGATTAACTAATTACCAAGGCTTTATATTCTCCATTATCAGATATAGCACAAAAAGTAACATTTTTAATTCTAATTACATGTTTAAATTCTTAGATGCAGCTATGTTTTTATTAGATCTGATAATCCTATTCTAAATGATCATGCCATTTACATTCTAAAATTTCATTAGATTTTGCTTATTGGATCAAAGTTATTAATCTACTAGGTTCAAATAAATCAAGTTATTAAAAACAAAGAGAAATAATTTCATCAATAAGTTATTAAATTCCTTTTAACTTGAGATCTTGATTAAAAACCATTGAACCGTATAAGTATTTCTAATGTTCATCTAAGTATAATTCTTATAACCCATACCTTAACAAAATTTAGATATCTAATTCCTTAATATTAATACAGCTTCCTAATAATTTTGAGTTTATATAAGTTTGATATAATGTTATTCCAATAATAGAAGCATACATTAATTCTTGGTTTAAGTATCAACATATAATTCTAAAATTTACTCTAATTCTGTATAATTATAAGATTTTATGGATTATGTTATCTTAAGTAAATTTTAAGGATCTAATTAAATTTATGATTGTTATTGTAATTTTTCAAATGTTTTATTGTAATTTTTAGATCTTAAGAATTAAAGAAATAGTTTAATTTTTTCTTCTTTGATGTTCATTTTATATTTGATTAAAATTTTCTTTTTTTAATTGACCGCAAATAATGGATATCGTAGGAGTAATCTCTTTAGTTTAATCATTAGAACGTGTTGCCATAAGTTTTGAAGGACGAAGCTACAGAAGACAAAGGTGAGATGGCCAGATTGGTATTATTTGAATTTTAAAATTTAAGTAAAGTTTTGTAGGCGCAATAGCAGTGGCTGATTTAGTAAAAACAACTTTAGGCCCAAAAGGAATGGTATAATATTGTTTTTAAAGGATAGGATAAAATATTGAAACCTACAGGACCTGGTTAAGAGATGACTCATATCACTGTTACTAATGATGGTGCTACAATTTTAAAATCTATGTATGTTGAGAATCCAGCTGCTAAAATTCTGATTGAGATTAGCAAAACTCAAGATGAAGAAGTAGGAGATGGTACAACTACAGTAGCAGTGTTGGCTGGTGAATTGTTAAGAGAAGGAGAGAAATTAATTTAAAAAAGAATTCATCCACAACATGTTATAGCAGGATGGAGAATAGCTAGAGATGTGGCATTAAAGAGATTAAGAGACATTTGTAATTATTTTAACAATCATATCTAGCAAGTGAAAATGATATTGAATCTTAAGAATTCCATAATGATTTAGTAAAGATTGCAAGAACAACTTTGAGTTCAAAATTAATCACATAAGACAGAGATTATTTTGCTGATTTGTGTGTCAAAGCAGTTTTAAGATTGAAGGGATCTTCTAATTTGGATTATATCTAAATTATTAAACTTCCAGGAGGAACTATTAGAGATTCATATTTAGATGATGGATTTATTCTTAAGAAATAAATAACTATTGGTTGTAAAAGAAGAATTGAAAATGCTAAAATCTTGGTTGCTAATACAGCTATGGATTATGATAAAATTAAGATTTATGGTACTAAAGTTAAAGTGAATTCTATGGATAAAGTAGCTGAAATTGAAGCAGCAGAAAAAGAAAAGATGAAACATAAAGTTGATAAGATTCTTAAATATCAACCTACAGTATTTGTAAATAGACAACTTATTTATAATTATCCTGAATAATTATTAGCTGATTCTGGAATTACTGTTATTGAACATGCTGATTTTGAAGGTATGGAAAGAGTGGCTGCTGCTACAGGAGCAGAAATATTATCAACATTTGATGCTCCTGAAAGAAGAGATTCAGTTTTAGGACATTGTGATTTAATTGAAGAAATTATGATTGGAGAAGAAAAGGTATAATTTATATTATATATTTATATAGATGATCAAATTCACAGGTTGCAAAAAGAATGAAGCTTGCACAATTGTATTAAGAGGTTCTTCCATTCATATTTTGGATGAAGTAGATAGATCAATTCATGATGTTTTATGTGTTTTAACTACAACAGTTAAAAATAGAAGAGTTGTTTGGGGAGGTGGTAATTCAGAAATGCAAATGGCAGCTGCATGTGAAGAAGAAGCTAAGAAAGTTTAAGGAAAATAAGCTTTAGCTATAGAGGCATATGCTAGAGCCTTAAGATAGATTCCTACAATCATCTGTGATAATGGAGGTATTAATATAGATTTATCAAATTAGGATATGATTCAGCTGAATTAATTTAAAATTTCAATGTGGAATTGTAAAAAGGAAATTTAACTTTTGGATTGAATATGAATGATGGAACCATAGGAGATATGTAAGAATTAGGAGTTAAAGAGTGCATGAGAGTTAAGGAATAAGCAGTAATGGCAGCTAGTGAAGCAGCTGAATTAATTATGAGAGTCGATGATATTGTAAAATGTGCACCAAGAAAAAGAGATAGAGCATGATATTAATTTATTAAGTATTTAATAAGATTAAATTACACCCAATTAATAATAATGAAGGATCTAAAATCAATATTTATAATTTTTAAGACTTATTAGTACTTTATAAAGTATAGGAGACTTACACTATATATCATTTGATTAGCTAGATAAATCATAAGAATTTTCTATGAAGATTGATATAAACTACTATCATTACTATCATAATCATGCTATCAAAACAAAATTCTCTTGCTTTAAATCTCTATAAAGTATCCTATTTTAATACTGATTTTTTAATTTCTATTATAATATTAGTAGTAATTAATTCTAATTCAAAATTTAAAACTATGTTTTACTATTATATTAAAGCATTTGTTTCAACTTCTCATTGATATTACAATTTTCCATAAATTAATTATATATTAAATCAAAGTTATATTCATTCACTAGTTGTTAATTAAAAACGAATTAAATTAATATTTTATGATTCTATTTTCAGCTATTTCAAAAGGTTCTCTAATTTTATGTGAATATACTGATACAAATGAAGATTTCTAGTAATTAATTTCTAAATAGCTCAAATTTATTAAAAACAAGGAAGAGAAACAACAATTTCAAAATGTATTATAATTCCTAATTATATATCTAGAATGAATACATTTTGTATCTCTTGCAAAAAAATCAATTTAATTTTATATGTATAATGCATTAACCAGAAAATAATTCATCTGAAGATTAATAAACCTTTGCCTATAAGTTCCTTAATGATGTTTCAGATAAATTTTAATTAATGACATAGAGTAAAATATTAATTTAACATCAGCTCAAGGAATAGATAAGGGTTAATTCACAAAAGTTATCGCAGAATTAATGGGTTAATACAATTCAAATCCTGAATCCCCTATTACCAAATTGAAACAATAACAATAAATTTAAGAGTAAATAAAAATATTTATATTTAGAAATTAAACTCAATAAGAAATCAATACAAAAGGGATTTCTCAGGATGCTTAAGTTCATATAAAAAAAGACAATTTAGAATATAGTGTGAATACCTGTAAATCACTTTTCTTTGTTATTAATTTATTTCTTGCTGGAGTGCTAGTTGAATTATTTACTAAATTTAATAAATATTTATGAATATGTTCAATAAAATATACCTATAAATACAATATTCAATTATTAATGTGTCATAATATTTTTATTAAGATCAATAATAAATACATTACAATTAAATCTAAAATTAATACTTTTTCACTTAATCAGAATTAAAATTGAAAATAAAATTTATATTATTTGAACATAATGGTGTTGCTTAACAATAGATATATGTATTATGAGAGAGATTTCTTAGGGGAAGGTTCTTATGGCAAGCTATATAAAGGGAAGGATACTAAAACTTAAGAAGAAATTGCTATAAAAAGTATCCATATATCGTTATTGAAAAGTATTTGATCTTACAAAAATGGAGGGAGTTGAATTAGAATTACTGGAAACGGAAATAGCTACAATGAAAGACTTATAGCATCCAAATATAGCAAAAATTATTGACAACTTTAAGTTACCTCCCAAAAATATGGTAATTCATAGCCTATAATCATAGGTTATAATTTTAGAATTATGTGATGGAGATTTAAACAAATTAATGAAAAAACATGGAGGAAAATTACCAGAATCTGTTGCTCAGACTGCTTTAACTTAATTGATGGAAGGATTTAAATTTATGATAAGCAAAAATTATATACATAGAGATGTTAAACCTGCTAATGCATTGACAAAAGGAGCTGTTTATAAGGTTTCTGATTTTGGTTTTGCTGGAAAAGTCAATGTTAGAGCTAAATAAAAATTGGATTTATATTGTGGAACTCCAATTTATGAGGCACCTTAAATTTTGGCAATGACCCCCTACACAGCTAAATGTGACCTATATTCAATAGGGGTTATGGCATATGAGTTAGTTTATGGATAGTTTCCTTGGTCTAATAGAGCAGGAGACGAGCAACTTTTGAAAAATATTAAAAATGTCCCATTAAGATTTCCTGTTGATATCAAAGTTTCAGAATAATATAAAGATTTCTTAAAAAGATGTTTAGAATTTGATGAAAATAAACGTATTGAATGGGAAGAGGCCTTTAATCATCAATTATTTAAGGTTTAAGAAAGTTAAAAATAATATGTATTAAAACATTCAATAATAATTAGGATTCATTTAAAGTGCCATAAAATGCTAAGGAATTATTAGGATAATTGCAAAAGATATCTTAAGCTAGAGATATTAATGTTCTTGAATTATTTGAAAGATATGATACTGATAGAAGTCTTTAATTGGATAGAAATGAATTCTATTTATTCATTTTACAAATTGATCCAAGATTAACAAGAGAATAAACAACTTTGATTTTTAAGATTATGGATAAAAATGGGGATGATTTGATATCACTTGATGAATTCAAGGAAATCTTTTGCAATTATGAATTCATTAATATAGCTGATAAGGCTGAAAGAATCATTATTGATTTAAGAGAAGTTGTAAAAGCCAGAAAATTAAATTTAGATTAATTATTTAAAAGCTTTGATTAACAAAGTGATGGTAAACTTAATCAATAAGAATTTACATAATTTATTAAGTAATTAGCTCCAGGTTTGAAATAAGATGAGATTGATGAAATATTCAAGAAATTTGATAAAAATTATGATAGAGAAATAACTTTTGCTGAATTCAAAGAGTAATTAGTGGCAGGTACTCAATTCGATTTAAAATTTGACCCAGAGCAAGAAAGAGCATAAGTATTATAATAAATATATATTAGAAATTATTAAGTGATTTAAAAAGAATAGTCAGAACAAGTGGTAGTAATCCATAATAAATTTTCAATAATTTTGATAAAAATAGAAGTGGTAAATTAGAATTCAATGAATTCTAAAACATTTGTAAAATAATTGATAGAAATAGCACACTTGAAATTGAAAAGGTTATGTTTTAAATAGTAAACAAATCAAATAGTCAAGGAATTTCATTTTCAGATTTTCAGTAAATATTTTAATGATATATTTATCATAAGTATTTGCAATTATACAAAAAAATAATCATGCAATAGTTTTAGTGTAGTTTGATTTCAAACGAAAGTTTCTTAAAATTGATTCTTTATCTACTTTTTATTATAGAGACTTATTTATCTGAATAGTATATCCAGTAATTTAAGGATTTTACAGTTTATTACTTTTCAATTGATTATGATTTTTTTATATAAATTTATAGTAATCTGACCATGAAAATGGTTCTTTTTACTTAACTTAAACAATTTGTTTTATTTTCTTTTTGTTTCCTGAAACCTTTAAACTAATTTGCTTATAATTATTTTTATTATTCTAAATTATTTGATTTTTATTTATTTATATGTTCTTCATCTTATCAACTATTCTTTTGTAAGCTGCTGTCTCATTACTAAATCCTAAGTCTTAAAATTATGTATGACAACTTCCAGCTCTATCATGGTATGGAAGAGTTTTTTGAACTGTTTATTGTGTTTCATTTGAACGTTATCTACTTTAAGTTCGAGATTAAGGAAGCTTAATTTTTATTAATCTTGTTTTTCTATCTTATTGTTATTCTTCTTTCAATTTAGGGGATAATCGGAGAAAATTGTCCTGATTTTCATCCCAAGGTTCCACAAAAAAATCATTCTCATAATAAGAGGATTTATGTCTTATTGGCTTTATAAATTCTATCCCCAAATCAAGATTAAGTAAATTAATTTTGGGGTCTTCTTAATTTTATTATTCATTTTCTAACATTAAATAATTAATTGATTGAGAATTAAGAGCATCAAAGTTTTTTATTTAATATAGTAATCTTTAAAATAAAAGTTATATGATAATAGGTAGATATGATATTGGAAATATGTTATAATTAATTTCATAATTATTTTTTTTGATGTTTTTTCATTAATCCACTAAATGTGTAGATCATATTGATGATAGCAATGTAAGCTGAAGACCTTCATATAGGAAACATCATTAATAAGTGATTCAATCCTCTTAATTATTGGATTATTAGTTTTTAATGAATTACTGCTCCAAACCATTGCTACCAAGAAGTAAAAATATCCATTCTTAAAATACATTAATGATACTATAATAACTACATCAATAGGATTAATTACTGGATATATTTTAACATTTTCAAAATCTGGAAAGGAAATTACGATAACAATGAAAATGGGATTTAGTTAAGTATTCTTAATAATATTACTTCCTCCAATTTTATTTGAAAGGTACTCAAATTTCTAAAATTAAGTGCAATTCACATGGATTCTGTAACTTTCTTTGAACATTTTGGTACAATCAATATGTACGCTATATTTGGTACAATAATATCAATGATAATAACTTCTTTCTTCATATTTATTTGTGGTTTATTAGGTTTAGCTAAGGAACTACAATTATCTAAATGCTTTGCCTTCGGAGCAATAATATCTTCAACAGATCCTGTAGCTGTTTTGAGTGCTTTCAAAAATATGAAATAATCAAAAATGTTATATACATTTATATTTGGAGAAAGTATTCTTAATGATGCTGTTTCATTAACATTATTTAAGTAATGAGAATATTTATTGATATTTATAGTGCAGTAAATGAAATAATTAATTAAGAAACAAGTGATCTATTGAAAGTTATTAGTTAATTTCTAATAATATTCTTTGTATCAATAGCTATAGGTTATGCTATGGGAATAGTGAGTGCATTTATTATAAGGTTTAAAAATTAAGCCATTGCTAATTTTGAGGCTTCTTTGTTATTGTTATTACCATGGATTACTTATCTAATTTCTGAAGCATTTGAAATGTCAGGGATTGTTAGTATCATGTTTTGTGGCATTTCAATGGCAAGATATACTATTCCAAATACAAATGAATTGTCTAAAAAGGAATTCACTAAATTTTATGAAATAATAGCTCATATCTTTGAAAATTCAGTTTTTATCTTTATTGGAATAGGAGTCATTGGTTTTAATTTACCATGGTAAGATACTGGATTTGGAATCATTTTATCAACTTTTATAGGAATAAATCTTTCAAGGTATTTCTTTGTTTATGTAATAACTAAATTTGCTAATAATTTTCGATATCTTCATGTAATAAATGACTATTAAATGAATATGTTATGGTTTAGTGGATTAAGAGGAGCTATGGCATATGCGTTATCAATATAAACTATTTTACTTTATGGTCCTATAGGTGAAGTACTCTTAACTATTTCTATTGTGATTATCATGATTAATGTATCATATATTAATTATTTAGATCTATGTCTAAGGGATGATGTTAAATCCAATATTAGCAAAGTATAACCAGAATCTTATAGAGAATTATTAAGAAGAGGAATAAGAAAAATCTAAAAATATCTTCAAATAGATAAAAGAAGGAATCAGTTAAATAGATAATCTATTTATCTAAATTTGTCTTTCTGAAAGCAATGATGAAGAAATACCTTTATGTAAATATATATATATTATATAATTTAGAAAATGGAGTGTAAGGAGTTGAAGTTGACAATTGAAAATAATGGTGTCAATCTAATTGTATCTATATTATTATTTTAATAAATTACAATATTGTAATTATGTCTAATATTTTATTTATAAATATAATGATTCATGGTCCCAATTCTTAATTTTCTGGCGCTTTCACTATAGGCAAAAGATATGAATGTAATTTATCCTCTAATCTTAGGTGCCATATACTAAGACAATCCAAATCCTGGGTATAATATCTATTAACATAAGACCCAATCATTATTCAGTCAATCCCATAGACAAGCCTTTGGGATATAAATTTACAAAATCTAAACGGAAACCACTCTATTAAGCTACTGCAGCTCCAGATCCTGGAACTTATGAGAATAAAATTAAGGTAATTTTTAGTATAACTTATTAGGCAATCTTACCTCATACTTCTTCAGTCACATTCACTAAAGCAAAAGAGACTTCTCCTAGAGAGACTGAGATAGGTCCAGGATCATATAATTTGGCTGATTAAAAAAAAGCACCTGCATTTACTTTTTAAAGTAGATTTGATTCTATTGGAAATGAGATTATGAAAACTCCAGGTCCTGGAAATTATGAAATGGAGCATATACATACTTAGAAGCCTAAAAATAAAGGGTTTTCTACTAGTTAAAGAACTAATATGCTATTATCTAATCATCCAGGACCAGGTTCTTATGAAATAGAAAAGCCTTAGTTTTTAACAAATATTAAGTATAGTTTTGATTCAAAAAGATTTCCAAAATCATAACGTAACATGAATTGGAGTCAAAATGGACCAGGTCCAGGAGCATTTGATCTAAATCTACCTAAACATTAGGGTTTTACTTTTGGAAGCAAAACAAATTAATCAATTGATAGATCAAATGTTCCAGGACCAGGTAGTTATGATGCAGATGTTGTAGAGACAAAATTTAAAAGAATAAAAGGAGCAAAGTATGTTAAATTTTAATCGAAGAATAGGAAAATCTGAAAGAGGTAGTTTAAATTTCTAAAAGATTGGTCCATCTCCACTTGATTATGATGTAACTAATTATAAGTATCCAACTAGACATGCAAGGTTTATATGAATATATTAATAATTTTTTAGTTTCAATAAAGCAATTAGACCATCAATGATATCTACAGAACGAACACCAGGACCTGGGTAATATGATTTAGATTTTAAATTAAAAAAGAATGGCCCTATAATCCCAAAAGCTTCTAAAGATTAAATTAATTTAGAAAATTTACCAGTTATGAATTATATTGATAGTAGGGACCTGGAAGGTATAATCCCAATGATTCAATGACTTCTAACAAAGGACCAAGTTATCATATGGCAAAGAAATATGATAAAGCTGAAGAATCAAGTATGATAGGACCTGGGAGATATAACATTCCTAGAGATATTAATGATGGACCCAAATACACATTTCCGACTCTCGAAAAGAGTATGGAGAAAAAGTCAATAGATTTAAATCAGTAAGATTCAAATTTAAAATAGATCACATTGTTATGAAATTAAGTAAACCATTGGATATATACCTTAATATATTCTTCATAATTGATTTATATTAAATTCAATTACAATAGTATTAATATATATATATATCATTACATAAATTAATATGAAAATTTACACTATGTCAAGTTAAAAATAGAAGGATTCTTTTACAATTAAAATATTTAATTTTTTTTATATAAATGAATAAAACTAGCAATTACACTTCTTCTTCAACCTTTAAGTTATTTAACAACAAAAATAATAAATCAAAACTTGATACTACAACCAATAATGGCAATAATGCTAGTATGATAAAGAAGGAAATCAAATAGCAAGGAAATTAATATTCTTAATTATAATCAGCTAGACCAAGAACTCAATCAGTATAGAAAAAGGAAAGTGTAAGTAAAGAAAAATAGTAGCCTTTAAAACAGTATGAATAATAGATGTAATAATTAGTTTAGATCCTCAAAAGAGATTAGTGACAAATCCTAATTCAAGTGCTGAAAGAGCCATAAATAAATAGAGAACACTTTCAACTTCAAGTAGAACATCTACTTTGAGTCCACAATCAAGAGTTAAGCCATTAGCAACTAAAAATAACACTTAATAGTAATAATAATAATAATAATTGAATAATTCAAATTAATAACCCACTCCGAGATCTGTAAAAAAGTAAATGTTCACTTCTTCAAATGTTAAAGAAAGCAAACTTAATGGTAATATAATAAGCAAGATGAAACCTAATTATGAGAAAGGCAAAAGTTTACCATTTAAGAAAGAGAGTCCTGCTATAAAATTACATAAATAGGATTCAAATACAATATCATTATAATCTATTTAAACTAGATCTTCTAAATAGAGTTTAAGTGTTCATAAATCAATAACTATAAATAAGATGGATTTATTTTAAAGATCAAAAACTCCATAAAATAAGAATCTACCAAATGATCCTTTTTATGTAATCATAATCTTATTATTTAGTGTATCGTTAGACCAATGTTTAAGGATGCAAAATATTATTAAACGTCATTGATTCATTATCATTATGAACAAGTAAGAAATAAATACTCACCTTATAATATCCACTTTGAATTAGAATATTCAACAAAAGAATTAAAAGAATATTTTAATGATTTATTTTGTGAACATTTTTAACAATCATTTACTTGTTTATAATATTGTAAAAGATTAACTCAAACTTTAAAATAAAATAATAAGATACAATAATTACCTCCAATTGTAAATCACACAAAAACATTAGTATTCGATTTGGATGAAACACTTTTGCATTGTAATGAAAATGTAAATGATCCTACTGATTATACAATTATGGTGAATATGCCTAATGAAGGAATGGTTAAGGTAATAATGTTAATAAAATTTAGACAAAAATTAATGTAAGACCATATTGTTAATAGATGTTGAAATTATTATCGAATCATTTTGAACTCATTTTATTTACAGCAGCTTATTAATATTATGCTGACAAAGCTCTTGAATTAATTGATCCAGATAGAAAATTATTTTAATATAGATTTTATAGGGAGAGTTGTTTAGAAATAGAAGAAGGACTTTTTATAAAAGACTTAAGAGTTATTGGAAATCGTTAGATTGAAGTAAATTAACTTAATATTTCTTTTAGAATTTATTATTAATTGATAATGCTCCTTATTCTTACTGTTATTAAATAGATAATGGAATTCCAATAATTCCTTTTTATGATAATAAATATGATAAAGAATTAGTATTTTTAACTGATTATTTACTTAATTTAGAAAAAGGTAAATAATGGACATATGCAAATAAAGTGCATTTTAGAACATACTTATATTAATAAAGTCATACTGCAGAGGAATGTCTAAAAGAAATGTTTAAAGCTTATGATATATTAACATATTGATTAATATAATAAATATATAAATTTAATGATAACTAATACGAATGGTATTGCAGAATCAATATATCACTATATTTGGTTGAAGGATGATTCATTAATAAAAGAGTCATTTTAATTGAGATTACCAGATACAATATTATTTAAGAATGGAATGCCATAAGTTTGGTATTTTACAAATTAATCAGGAGAAATACTTATGAAGAAGAATGATTGTCGTAAACCTGAAAATATCATCAATCATTTTTGTAATAATAGTAAATAAAATGGATAAGTTATTGCATATTATATTTATAATAGCAAATATAATGTTTAAGATCCAATTAATGATCCTCATGAAATCTCAAAAATTAAATAATTTGATGTAAATGAGAAAATCTGCATCTATTATTTGACCAAAGAAACATTTCCATAATTTATTAAAAATAATAATAAAGCTCCTGAAGGAATACTTTAAAAATTTATAGATCCTATAGCTAATCATGAATAACTAATATAGGCTATTTGGAGTCCTTCAGTTTGTATTCTTTCAAAAAAGTAAAATAATAGAGACCTATATGATATGTAATTTGATCCTTATGGTATTTTATTATTCAATTAAAATCTTAGAGAGATGTGCAACATTTGATGGATGTGAAGCATATTCAAAAGTTATTCCATTAAGAGGCAAATAAATCTCACATGAAATTAGAAAATAATGTTAAATGATTATTTAAAAATTGACTAACTTAAGTTATGGTTAGACAAATATATCTAGAGTAGTAATGTACTTTAAACCAGACAAATAAAATAGAGTATGGTTTTTATATTGTACATCTATTCGATTGTAAGGAGAACCTGATGAATAAATAGAATAATATAAATCTATTTGGGGAAATTCAAATATTAAAAAAAATAATACTCCAATATCTTTTAATACTAATTTCAAACGACCACATTAAATTAAAAATGTTTTAACTGTTAATACTATGCATCCAGTAACCTTAATTAAAAATATAGAATGTGTAGAATGTGGATCACTTTGTTAAAAAGATGATTTATATCATTTAGCTTATGAATTCATTATTAAACATTTTGAATTGAATCCAAATTCAAATCCTATCATTAATGAAAATATTTTAGTAATTAAACCAAAATCCTTTTTTGTAAGTTAAGATCATATTAGAGATATACATTCACATATACCTCCACTCATTATTAAACTTTATCCATAAATAACTGTAACTTTATATGAATAAATGAAAGTTAATGATGCTTTCTTAATAAAAACTATACTAGTTTGTGAATCCTGCTTTCTTAAATACAGTTCATCAAACTCTACATTGTCTGGTGCAAGTCAAAGAGTAATTAAATAAAAAAATATGGCAGTAAGATTAAAGAGTGCCAGTATTTTATAAAGGAAACCAGAAATCAAAGAATATTTATTTTAATAAAATTTGGATCTCATTAAATAAAAAAAAGAAGCATTTTTTAAATCTAATAATAATAAATAATCATTTAACAGTAACTCTTAATTCTCAACTGCTTTAAATACTCATTCAGCCTCTCATAAATATAAATTATCACTTGAAAGCAATTTCGATTAAATTAGTTTTTAATTAAATACTGCTAGATGATTTAATAATAAAATTATTATTATTATTTATATTTATTTCTAATCTTCTTAGAATATATATTTCTTTATATTTTTAGACATAATTATAATTATTAATTGCCAAATAAATATTGTATATTATTATTATTTTATTCAAAATAAAGAAATAAATGAGTTCAATAACAACTTAGATATTCAATTATTTTAATTTAGTTCTTAAATTATCCTATAACATATATTTTATATTACGTGATCAAATAATTGCTATTAAATAAATAATTGGTCATATAAACATATTGTTAAATAGAGAGAGAAGGCTTTGAATAAATAAATATAATAATAATCTAGCAACAATGACTGCTAACAATATTCAAACAAACAAATTTGCAGAATTTAATGAAGAATAAGTTCTTGATAATTAAGATTAGTCGACAACTACTTAATTTAAATAAAGTAGTAATGCCAATTCTACAACTTTTGCTTATCCTGAAACTAATTGTAAGAGTAAACCAACTAAAACATAAAGTATTTTTTAAATATATCTAAAAGGAAGTCTCTTGACTTTGACTCCATAAATCAGTTAAAGAAGAGGTTCTCAATCTTTGGCAGACCAAACTATGAGAAATGAAGATGACGTAGATATTTTCCAAATATTAGTCATGTGTCTAAAACCTATATGAAAAGAAATCTCATTATATCATATATTGGTATGACTCTAATATTGATCATAAATATGAGATCCTAATAAAAACAACTAAAGTTTAAATAACAATTGGAGATCTTATTTAGCTTGCGATAAGTTAATTTAATGAATAAAATGAATACTTGCAAACTCCATTTTCATCAGATGTTAATAATTAATATTTGTATGAGTTGTACATTCCTAAAAAGAAAAAAGGAACTCCTAATGAAGATTTTCCATGTAATTATTTTATTGAAATTATAGGCTTTGCTAATTCAACCTTGTTATCTCAAACAAATTAAACAGAGTTTTCTATTAAAGTTACTTAAAAATATTCAAAATATTAAACAAGTCTTTCTAATTCTAAACACTCATCAGCAATTAAACAAAATGAAAAATAAGTATTAGGATAAAAAAATTCTAGTTCAAAGAAGAAAAACCTGTTTCAACAGCTATTCTTTTGTTGTAATCAAACAGAAGATTATTGAAATATTTTGAAGAATAAACTGTTTAATGCTTTATATATATTTAACAAATAAAAAAGAATATATTATTTTTAAAGACTTTATGTTTTTAAATCTTTATATAATTTATCTATTCATATTTATTTGATTCTTTTCTCATTTTTGATTTAACTTTTCTATATTAATTCTATTATCTTATTGATCATTTATAGTTTCAATATTGATTTGACTAAGTATATTCAATAAGTTAATAATAACTTTATTTCTAAGGAAAATACCAAAATTTATTTTTATTTATTAAAAGTTAAAAATATTCTTAAGAAAAAGAAATTAAAATTTGATAGCTAATCTAAAACATAGATTAAAGTTTAAAACCAAATTTGAATTTTAAAATATTTATTTATAACAATAAATCCAGCAGTCTTTCTTTATTAAATCAATATTTTTGAATAAATTTAATAATCATATATCTTATATTTTACTTGTTATAACTTGATTTTTTTTTTCATAAAAATAATTAAAAATTTTGAAACAAAAAAAATAACTATAAAAAAACAAACACCATAATCATTAAATTCATAACACTTTAAATTAATCATTATATACTTTTTTTATTTTATTTATTTAATAAATTATTTCATAATGATTTCTTATTTTTTATTAAAGACTAAAATAATAAAATGAGAGTGATGACTTATTTCATTTAATATGTACAATCTTATTAATATTAAATTATTTTTAATGCAATAATCAATGAATCAGAGCTTTAGATCCCCTTAAAGAAAATTGGATGGTATTTTGATATTGATATAACTCAAGGGCCAATAGTTAAATTAAGAATGAGAAAAATACTTGATATAAGTAAAATAAGGAAAGAGGAAGAATAATTTTAATGCATGTTGGATTCTTATGAGCCTGATTAAAGGTATCATCAAAATTTATAGAAGTGTTTCTTTTCAGGACAGAACCTTTTATAATAGAACTTTCAGACATACTTCCAGAAGCTTAAAAAAGGCAGAGGATAAAAAGATATCTGAAGAATACACTTTATATGGATTCTCTAGAATCAAAACAGAGAGGACACCTCTGATATTGATAAGTAGAAAATCAAAAAGAATTTAACCTATAATTGATGAAGATAAGGATATAAGTAATTAAGAGTGGTTTGAGAAATGTAAATAAATGGACCCACCTTAAGCCAAAGCATAATTTTATGATAAAGTTACTAAGTAAAAATAATCTAAAAAACAAGTTCATATATATGGTATGATGTTACTGTGTTAGACTACATATAAGAGACAAAGAAATTCTCTGTTTAAAAATACCCAGAAGGATAGACAAAGAATGTTACTAGATTATCTATTCAGTTTTATAATTAAAATTAAGATCTTTTTAAATAAGCCATAAAAGAAAAGTATATAAAAATATAATTATAGAGATCAAATTCGATCTTAAAAGAAAATTGAGTTGAAGAAGATTCAAGATATAATAAATGTTAATGATGTAGATGTTAATAAACTTCCTTAACATTTGAGATTCAAATTCATTAAAAAATTTTAATAAAATGATCGTTAAGGATTATTATCAAAACTTATAGATGAAGTAAATTAAATTTATACATTTGATATGAAAAAATGTGTATTTTATAAAGAATTGTAGAAATACAAATAAGCATATAGTCCATTAACAAAATATTAATTTTACAATAAGTATTAGTAATAAATTGAAAATAACTAATCTTTTATGCAATAAAATACAATATAAGTTGAGTAAGTGATGAATTCACGTTGTAAAAAGTTTAATTTATAGATAATCGATTTAAATTAGTTAAAATTGCCAATTATAAATACAACTTTCTTGGAATATTGTTAAAATAATATAAAAAGTTATATATAATAAATCAATTTGCAAAGAAAATATAAAAAATCTGAAATTTAAGATGTCTTATAAAAAAAATATAGTTTTTTAGGTAAAGATTAAAAGGCTCATTAATAAAGTCCATTACATAGAATTTTAAGAAAGCTTGATTTAATTTATGCAGATTTTCTAAAACATTTATTATAGATTAACACAGAAGCTATTTTCAATATTTATTAATAATTCATACTTTAACCTAATGATATCTTTTATATAAATACATAATCATTTTTAGTATTAGAATTACATGTAAAAGTATTAAAACAAACAAAAACAAAAAAATAATTAATAAAATAAATGGAAAGATTGACCAAATAATCTATAAGAGAGAAAGAATAAGATATTTAAAAAGAGGAAATAGAATATGATGAAAAAATTACTATAAATTTATCAGAATATGAAGTAATTGAACTCTTAACATTTCCTTAATTTTAATTAATAGAATAAGTGAGTAGAATCAATAGAATGGAAGGTGATATTATGACTTTGTTATTATTGAAAAATGAATTAGTATTAACACAAACTGATGTTGAATATTAGAAATTGTAAATTAATCCAACAATAGAGATAATAAAGAGTGAGTATCAAAAATGTGAATAAATACTTACTAAATTTAAAAAATTTGAATTTATTTTAAAGAGATTCAGATCTACTGAAGTAAATTAATTATTAGGGATATCAACTAAAAGAGTTCCACTATCTTAATTAAATTTTGATGATGTAGATGAAAAAATTAAATGTTTAGAATAAGCAAAAAATGAAATTATTAAAATTACTTCTGATTCAATTAAGCTTGGATTATTCACTTTATAATTAAAAGGAATAAAAGAATTCTTAATAAATAAAGCTGAAGAATAATAAAAAATGATTATGAATAGGATCCATGAAGTTATATTATTCAATATAAAAAATATAGGAGAATAATATGAAGAAGTATATAAAAAAGGATCACATATTCCAGATACAGAATAAGAATTGATAGATTTAAAATTAATGCTTGATGAAATAAATGTTTAATTTGGAAAATTACGTTTTGAAATTAGTTAAATGTAAAATTTAATATTTAATTATTTAGAATGAAATATGTAAATATTTTTGAAGAAAACTACTTTGATTTCGATAACAAAATTATTGAATCATATTATCATCTTTTATATAAACCTAAGGATATTACTCAAATAATACATAAAAACAAAGATGTTATTTCTATAAAGGAGAAAGAATTCTTGAAACGTTTAAAATAGGATGAGTATGATTTTAAAGAAACTATGTATCAGATAGCTGAACTCTTTAATTAAATTAAACAATTTAATGATTATAGTTAAATTAAGACTTATCTTCCTTAAGTTAATCAATTAAATAAGTCATTCAATTATGCTAAGGAGTAAATCAGCAGTTTTAATATACGATAATAAATGCTATCAATGCAATTAACTAATTAGGCTGAACTAGACAATATAATATATTAATTCAAACCTTATGAAAAATTGTGGACTTTAGTGGTATACATCTCCAGCATATGCATTAGAGCAAATTCGAGTCCCAAAAAGAAAAGTGGATTAGCGGATCTTTCAAGTCATTGAACTATTAGGATATGATTTGGAAGATAAATTAGTTTGCAAGTGAGATAGGATCCATGAGTGCTAATTTTGAAGAGGAGAATGAAAATTTGATAAATTTATTAAAAGGGTTTAGAAAAGCTTTGGATTCTTTTAAGGATATATTATGGGTAGTTGAGGCTTTAGCTATTGAGGCATTTACAAAAAAACCTTAATTTTGGAGAGAATTATTTAGAGAATGCAAAATTAGTAATTTTGATCCAAAAGAAGATTTTCCATTTTTTGTTTTATTGAATAGAGGGATTTTAAATTATAAAGAATAAGTAATTTAAATTTCAATCAGAGCAGAAAAAGGATGGAATATTGAAAAAAGATTATAAGAGATGCATGATAAATTAAGTTAAATTTTATTAGAAGTAATTGCTTATAGAGAAACATTTATATTTAAAAATTTAGATGAAATATAAGTAATTTTGGATGAATAATTCAGTGTATTGACAATACTAAAAGCATAACCACATATTAAATTATCAGTTGGATAAGCTAATCAATTAGAATATAAAATAGTATTGATATAAGAAACTTTAGATTTTGGTATGAAATGTCAAAAATAATGGATGTATTTAGATCCTATCTTTTCAAGTGAAGATATATAAACAAAATTAGTAGAAGAAACAAAAAACTTTAAATTAGTTGATTAAGCTTTTAGAAATTGCATGAAAGAATTTAAGAAAGAACCTATATTATGGGAATGTGTTGAAGATGATAAAATGAAAGTTGATTTTAGTAATGGAGTATTGTTATTAGATTAAATTTAAAAGAGTTTAACTATATATTTAGAATAGAAAAGAATAGTATTCCCAAGATTTTATTTTGTTTCAGATGAAGAATTAGTTTAAATACTATCTTAGACTAAAGATCCAACTTAAATATAAAATCATATTTATAAATGTTTTGAAGCTATGCATAAATTATAATTCTCTGTTACTAATGCAATTACTGGATTTCAATCTACTTAAGAAGAGAAGATTAAATTACTCTAAGATGTTAAAGTTATGGAAGGTTCAAGGAAAGGAAATGTTGAATTATGGTTATTAGATTTATAAAATGAAATGAGAATAGCTATCAAACATTATTCTTATTAAACTTTGATTGATTTGATATCAACTAAATAGGAATATATTGCTAAATGGCCTGCTTAATGCATTTTATTGGCAAATTATATAAGATGGACTCGTAATACTGAATCAGCTATAAGAGGATAACAGAAATTAAATTTGGCAACATTTTGTGAATAATTAAATTAAGAATTGCATGAAACAGTTCAATTAGTAAGAAAAGAAAATAGAATAATTCCTAAAACTATTTTAGAAGCCATGGTTGTTATGGAAGTACACGCTAAAGATATAGTATAATCTTTATATAAATAAAATGTATAAACTATTTTTGAATTTGCTTGGATTTCATAATTAAGATATTATAATGAAGAAAATAAAAATGTTTCAGCTAAAATGATAAATGTCTCTGTTTAGTATGGATTTGAATATTTAGGAAAGGTTACAAGATTAGTGATGACATCATTAACAGATAGATGTTAAAGGACTTTATTGGAGGCTTTGCATATGAATTATGGTGGAGCTCCAGAAGGACCAGCAGGTACAGGTAAATCAGAAACTGTTAAAGATTTAGCTAAAGCAGTTGGAATGCCTTGTATTGTATTTAATTGTTCAGATGGTCTGAATTATATTGCTATGGGTAAATTCTTTAAAGGTTTAGCTTCTTCTGGATCATGGTGTTGTTTTGATGAATTTAATCGTATTGATGCTGAGGTTTTATCTGTTGTTGCTTAATAAATTTATACTATCTAAAAAGCAATTAAAGAAGAGAAAACCAATTTTATTTTTGAAGGCGAAAATGTTTAATTAATTAGAACTTGTGCAATAAATGTTACTATGAATCCTGGATATGCTGGTAGAACTGAATTACCAGATAATTTAAAAATTCTATTTCGACCTTGTGCGATGATGGTACCTGATTATGCAATGATAGCAGAAATCTATTTATATAGTATTGGTTTTCAAAAAGCAAGAGAATTAAGTAGTAAAATAGTTACTTGTTTAAAATTATGCAATGAATAATTATCTAGTTAGGAACATTATGATTTTGGTATGAGAACCTTAAAAGCTGTATTAAATTCTGCAAAATCTATGTATAATGAAACTGAAGAAGAAATTTGTTTAAATGCTTTGATAAATGTTAATAAACCAAAATTTACAGACAGTGATCTTTTATTATTTTTGGCTATTACTTAAGATCTATTTCCAGGGATTTAATTAGTAGAAATAGAAGAATTATCAAATTTATATGATGGATGTTAGGAATTAGATTTATAAATGGATAAAGAATTCTTTGAAAAATGCATTTAATTAAATAATAATATAAATGTTAGAAATGGAGTTATGTGTATAGGTTAAGCTTGTGCAGGTAAAAGTTCAGTACTTTAAACTCTTTGTAAAAGTCAAGATGCCCTTATTTTAAAATTAAATCCAAAAGCTATAACAAGTGATTAATTATATGGAAGATTAGACCCAGAAACTAAATAGTGGGCAGATGGAGTTGCACCAATATTAATTAGGGATAATATTGATAGAAATTAGAAAGTTTGGATAATGTTTGATGGTCCTGTTGATTCTATATGGATTGAAAATTTGAATACAGTTTTGGATGATAATAAAAAGTTATGTTTGACATCAGGTGAAATATTAAAAATACCAGATACAATGTGTATGCTTTTTGAAATAGAAGATTTAAAAGCTGCGTCTCCAGCAACAGTATCAAGATGTGGGATGGTATATTTCTTACCTATAAATTGGTATCTAATTGTTCAATCAATTTAATTACCAAAAGGATTTGATAAGGATTATACAATTAGAAGAATAAGATTGTAAGATATTATTAATATTTTATATAGTTTTTTAGATAACACAATAGCTTGGGTTAAGACTGAACATCATGTTTTTATAATTTATGATTCTATTAATATATTAACATGTAGTTTTCTTAAGTTGTTAACAAAGTACTTAACTGAAGATTTGGCTACAAAAAATAATGATAATTTAATCATATTTTGTTTAATTTGGTCATTTGGAGCATCTATGGATGAATAAGTTAGACCTAAATTTAATTAATTTTTGAATAACTTAATAGAAACTAAGGTATCTAATTTACAAACTTAATTTCCAGCTGATTCATAATTGGAATTATAGGTAGAAATATTAGATGATTATTTTTCATACTGTTTTATTGAAGGGAAATGGATTAAATGGATTGATGTATTTAAATTTATATTATTTATAGACATAAGCCCCTTAAAAAATATCAGGTTCAATGTAATTTCATGAAATTTTTGCATAAACAGCAGATACAATTAGAAATGATTACTTCTGTTAAATAGGATTGCATTTTTTATTTGCAGGTCCTACTGGAACTGGTAAATCTTTATCTATGAATAAATATCAATAATTTTTAATAACATGTTCAGGATAAACTACTGCTAATAGATTATAAAGGTTAATAGAAACTAAAATTAATAAGAGAAGAAAGAAAGGTCATTTTTATGCAGAGGAAGGATAAATCTAAATATTTGTAGATGATTTAAATATGCCCTATAGAGAACCTGAAGGATCTGTTCCAGCAGTAGAATTATTAAGGTAATGGATGGAAATGAATGGATGGTATGATTTAGATACTAAAGAATTCAAATATATTTGTGATATAACATTTTTAGGAGCCATACATCCTGCAGAAAGAAATTAAATTACTTTGAGATATTTAAGATTTTTTAATCTTTTATATATTGGTGGTTTTAATCATCAAAGTTTAACAACTATGTTAAATGTTTTTGGTGAATGGCTAATAATGAATTAAGTGGAAGAAATAAGAGACTTAAAAAACTAATTAGTTGAGCAAACTATAAATTTGTATTCAAGTGTTTAGAATCTGTTATTACCAACTCCATAGAAATCACATTATATATATAATTTAAGAGATATATTTAAAATATTTGAAGGAATCAGTAAAGTAAAAGTAATTGATAATCCAGTTCATTTATTTAAATTATGGGCTCATGAATGTTTGAGAGTATTTAGTGATAGACTAATTGATGATGAAGATCAAAATAAATTTGATTAACTCATTTAAGATAGTTTAAGTAAATTGAATTTAGAATCATTTTCAATAGATAATCTTATTTTTTCTTCTTGTTTAAACAAACAATATGAAGAAGTTTATGATTTATCTAAATTAAGAGAAAAGTTAAATATGACTTTAGATAAATATAATACATTAGATTCATAAGGAAGACTTTAATTGATTTTTTTTAATATGGCTATCATTCATATTATAAGAATTGTTAGAATTCTATCTAATGTTTATGGACATGTTTTAATGATAGGTATGGGTGGAACAGGCAGATCATCATTAAGTAAAATAGCAAATTTCATTGTATTTAATAAATCCCTTAAAACAATAGATTCTAGATCTTGGAATGAATAGTTATTAATTTAATTAAAAGAAACAGGATTAGAAAATGAATAAAATACAATATTATTTAATGACTCTCAATTTTAATCAGAATATATGTTAGAAGATGTATGTAATTTAATGAGTCATGGTGAAGTATCTCATTTATTTCCTCCTGAAGAAAGAATTAAGATTTAAGAAACAACAACTTATAGTTAATTTGTTAAAAGTTGTAAATTAAATATACATGTTATTTTGTGTATGTAACCTGTAGGTGGTCTATATAGAAAAAGATTAAGAACATTTCCAACAATTATTAATTGTACAACTATTGATTGGTTTTCAACATGGCCTTAAGATGCTTTAGAATCAACTGCTGAATAATTTTTACCTAGATAACTTGTTAAGATGGGTGTTGAAGTTCATTATAAAATTATTTAGATTACTGAAAGATTTAAATAAGAATTAAGAAGATATTTTTATGTGACTCCAACTCAATATTTATAGATGCTTTAAACATTTTAAATAATTTAAGAATAAAAAATGGGTTAATCTAAAATATTTATTGAAAAATTTGAAAATGGAGTTGAATAAATCAAAAAAGCTGAAAATGATGTAGATAGAATTAAAGCTAAATTATTTGAATTACAACCAAAATTATAAAAAGCTAATGAAGAGAATACTCAATTACTTATTAAGATTCAAAAACGATAAGAAGAGGCTGATAAGAAAAAGTAAGCTTGTGAATTTGAAGAAAAGATTTGTCAATAATAAAGTAATGAAGCTAATGAATTGAGAAATAGTTGTTAATAAGCTTTAGATAATGTGTTACCTTTATTAGCTTAGGCTACTGAAGCCTTAGAGAGAATTACTAAGGATGATATGATATTATTGAAATCATTTACAAATCCCCCAGTATCAGCTGCTATTGTTATGGAAGGTTTAGCATATGCATTTGAAGAAGATCATTTAGTAAAAAGTAAAAACAAAGAGCCTCCTGTCTTATAAGATTATTGGGATTATGCCAAGAAATGTTTATTGAATGATAAATTAATAAAGAGAATTAAAAGCTTAAAATTAGAATAGATAAGATAAATATCTTTTAAGAACATTTAAAAATTATAAGTTTTTTCTAAAAATCCTTTATTTGAGAAAGATAGAGTATTTAATGCATCAAAGGCAGCAGGAAATTTAGCACTTTGGATTAGAGCAGTTTTGGAATCTTATATGGCAGTTGAAATAATTGAACCAAAAAAGGCAGAGTTAAAATAAGCAGAAGAAAAGTTGTAATAGGCTGAAGAACTTGTTTAAGAAAAGAAAAATGCTTTAGATATTGTTTTAGAAGAGTTACATAACTATTAATTAGAATATAATAGAGCAAAAGCTGAAAAAGAAAGAATAGAGGAATAAGTTATAACTATTAGTTCTTAATTATAAAGAGCAGAATAATTAATTGCTAATTTAAGTGAAGAAAAATCTAGATGGAATTTAAAAGCATAATAATATAAAGAAAATTAAAAGAATATTATAGGTGATTGCATGCTTAATTCAGCAATTATTGCTTATTTAGGTGTATTCCCAATTTAATATAGAGAAATTTGTTTAGAATTTTGGAAATCTAAATTGTAGGAATATGATATCTAAATCTCAACCAATTATTCATTACAAAATCAATTGAGTGATCCTGTATAAATTAATAGATGGCTTTAATAAAAATTGCCTAATGATTAATTTAGTATAGATAATGCTATTATTATGAAATAATCAACAAGATGGCCATTAATGATAGATCCATAATTATAAGCAAATGAGTGGATTAAAAATATGGAAAATTAAAAAAGTTTAATTATTTTTAATGCAATGTGGCCAATAAATTAAATATAATTATAATTATAACATGCAATTTAAATTGGTTATGCTGTTTTATTAGAAAATGCAGGATAAACATTGGATCCATTGTATGAATAAATATTACAATTCAATTAATAAAGAGGATAAAGGAATTTATATATTAAGTTTGGTGATAAAATGATAGAATATTCTAGTGATTTTAGATTCTATATTACTACTAAATTATCTAATCCTCATTATTAACCTTAAGTTTGTGTCGTAGTTACTATGCTCAATTTTCAAGTTACTTAAGAAGGTCTTATAGATTAAATGTTGAATATAGTTGTTAAGATTGATGAACCTTTAAAGGATGAATAAAGGAATAAAAATATATCATAATATGTTTTAAATAAGAATAAGTAAATACAAACTGAAAATCTAATTTTAAAATTGTTATCTGAAGCTTCTGGAGATTTATTAGAAAATGAAGTTCTAATTAAGACTTTACAATAATCAAAAGATGATGCTTATGAGATTGAATAAAGATTATAGAAATTGGAACATGATTAAGTGTTATTTAATTAAATTAAATCATTCTATAATTAAGTAGGTGAATTAGTTACTAATATATATTTTATTGTAAATGATTTATCTATAATTGAACCAACTTATGTATGGTCATTGGAATTTTATATTTAGTAATATTAGAGATCAATAAAGGAAGCATAATTTGGTAAATAGAGAAGAGTTTAAAATATCATAGATAAATTTCTATAACATATTTATATAACAATAAATCGATCTTTATTGGATAAAGATAAATTTATATTTAGATTTTTATTTTGTTTAAAAGTGCTTAAAATTCCAATAGAATAAATTAGAACTTGTGTAATAGGACCTTCTATAACATAAACTGATTTAAAAATGCCTACAATTTATGATTGGTTGACACCTAAGATGTGGCTAGGGTTAGTTGATTTGATGGAAAAGTACCCTAATGATTTTGGTTGGTTAAATAAAGATATAGTTGAAAATCAGTAATTTTGGGATAGTTATTTTTATAGTTAATAATCATATAAAATATAGATACCATAGATTGTAAATCAATTCAATTCTTTAATGTTAATAAAAATTATAAAACCTGAATAATTTATTAATAGTTTTAATGAATTAATAAGATAATTAATGGGAAAATAATTTTTGGAAAATATTCCATTTACTTTTGAATAATTTTATTAAGAATCTACTCCTACAACACCATTGTTATGTTTAATATAGCCAGGTAGTGATGCTAGATAAGAAATAATATCATTGGCTGATAAATTAGGATATTAGGATCATATCTATATAGTATCTTTAGGATAAGGTTAAATATAATTGGCATTAAAATTGATAAAGAATGGTATAAATTAAGGTAAGTGGGTTTTATTATAGAATTGTCATGTTGCCTAATCTTTTATGCCAGAATTAGAATAATTATTTGAAAATCAATTTAAAAGTTAGAATATAAATAAGGAATTTAGATTATGGTTAACAAGTCAACCTACAAATTTATTTCCACATAATGTTTTATTAAAAAGTATAAATTATATTAAATAATATATAGCTCTGAAATTAACATATGAATTACCAAGAGGTTTAAAGAATAATATGTTAAGATCATATTTTTAATAAGATTAAGAGAAATTTGAATAATGTAAAAAATAAGAAGAATGGAAGAACTTATTCTTTTCTTTAACTTTATTTCATGCATGTATTTTAGAAAGAAGAAAATATGGTCCATTGGGATGGAATGTTAGTTATAATTTTTCATAACATGATCTAGAAATATCAAAAGAATAAATTCTTTATATTTTAAATCATTAACATGATATTTAATGGGATGCATTATAATATTTAGTTGCTGAATCAAATTATGGTGGTAGAGTAACAGATCCTTAAGATAGAAAATTGTTAAATATTTTAGTACATGAATTCTTAAATGAAAATACAGCAAAAGAAGGATATGTATTTAGTGATTATGTTAAAATACCATAATCAAATAATTTAATGGGATATATTAATTATATTCAAACTTTGCCTATTGAAGATCCTCCATAATTATTTGGTTTACATTCAAATGCAGAAATATATTCTTCAATTTTATAAGTTGATCATATTAGTTAAGAAATCTTATAAGTATTACCAAGAGCTGTTGGAGCATAATAAAATACTGATATAATTGCCAAACAAAAATGTTAAGAAATAATTGATTTATTACCTCAATAATTCAATCTTATAGAATTGGAATAAAATTATCCTATTTTGTCACAAAATTCATTGAATACAGTATTATAATAAGATGTTGGGAGATATAATAAACTATTACGTACAATAAATTCATCTTTGTCTAATCTTATTAAATAGATAGATGGATATATTAATATGTCTGATGATTCCTAAGACATACTTGGAAATATTATGGATAATAAAGTACCAAATGAATGGTTGAAAAATTCATATTAGACTACTAAACCATTAGCAACATATATCAAAGATTTATTAGATAGATTATCCTTTATTCGAAAATGGATCACTAAAGGAGAACCAATATCTTATTGGTTAGGTGGTTTATTCTTTATACAAAGTTTTTTAACTGGTATTCTTCAAAATTATGCCAGAAAACATAAAATACCTATAGATGAAGTGAAATTTGACTATGAATTCTATTAAAATAAACCAAAATCAAAGCCAGTGGATGGGTTTTATGTTGAAGGGATATATATTGATGGTGCAAAATTCGATTTTAAAACTAATTCTATAGAAGAACCTGAAAATCTTATTCTTTATTATGATGCTCCTATTATACATTTCAAACCTACTTTAGAATAATAAATTCTGTAACATTATGCATGTCCATTATATAATACTGTATAGAGAAAAGGAAATCTAACAAGTACAGGTGGATCAGCTAATTTCATTTGTAATATTAAAGTGCCAATTAGATAATCTGATAGTCATTGGGCAAAGAGAGGAGTAGCAATGATTTTATAATTAAATTGATTTATTTTTATATCTATTATGTGGCTTAAATTTCTTTTTTGTGTGCTAATGTACTTTGAAGTAGAATAATTAGGGAAGATTGCTATTAAGAGTTAATTTCAAAATGATTTATTGATATCATACACAAGTATTATTTGCATAAAATATTAGATGCATTTTCTTCTGGATTATTTTTGGCAGTAGGGATTGTTCATATTCTACCAGAAGCAAATGAAACTTTGTAAGATTATGTAGATTATCCTATTGCATTTTTGATTACAATAATGGGATTTTCTTTATTACTATTTGTAGAGAAAATCATTTTCAGAAATGTTGAAGAAAATCCTAGTTGTGTTGAACTATAATAATTAGATACTTAAGGACATCATTAAGCAATCTTACTTGAAAATTTTGATCATCAGCATACAAATCAATTAATTCATTCTTTAAAGCATAACTAAAATAATAATCTTAAACCATATTTATTATCAACTGCTATTGGATTACATGCTATATTTGAAGGCATAGCTCTTGGAGTAACAAAAAGAACTTCAGATACTTTGGCTTTGGGATTATCTTTAATGGGACATAAATGGGCTGAAGGTTGGGCTTTAGGAGTGGCATTTAGAGAATCTAGTGTTGAACAAGAAATACAAATTAAATTCATAATTTTCTCTGCTTTACTATCTCCAATTGGTATCATTATAGGAATGCTTATCGCTAGAGAAAGTATCTTGATTACTGGGATTGTTTAAAGTTTAACAGCAGGAACATTTATTTATATTGCTTCAACTGAGTTAATAGTTGAAGAATTCAATAAAAATTAAAATAAGACAATTAAATTCATACTATACCTTTTAGGTATAATGTTAATGTCTTTTATTGTATATTTGGAGTGATCTTATATAAATTTATATAAACAGATAATATGAGTTATTATTATTTAAATTTTATAGATTGTAAATAATATATGATTGGATTTTATAGGGATTAAGATTAGAGTATTGTTTGAAATATAGGATGATAAATAAATAATATTATAAATATTTGTTTAAATATTTTCACAAAGAAATATAATTAATATGAATAGATAAATTACTAAAGAGAAATCTAGAAGTAATGAAGGCAGAAAAGAGAAGAGTGGATTATTTTAAAATTGTATTATTCTTTTTTATCAATTAAGATATTACAAAGAAAGACTTAGAACAAGTTAGTGGAATATTATAACCATAATTAAGAACTTTAAATTTTGATGAACTAACTAATGTATTTATATTATATATAAAGTTTAGGGAACACTCGATGATCATATGAGTTGTCAAACATTTTTGCATTGTCTGCCTAATCAAGATAATTTGGATTCTTTAAGTGATGATCATATGTGTCCATATAAGAGAAAATATATAATAGATTAATTAAAGAATGTCATTAATTAAGGATAAGGTATGTATGATAACCAATAAATAGGAATTAATTTATCATTATTAAGAGCATTACAAAAACGAACTGATTCATGTGAAAAGAAGAGTGATATCAATGCTTTAACTGATGATGAAAATATCTCGAATAGAGGATTAGAATAAATTAAAACAGTCATGGATAAATATCAGGAAAGATAATAAAAAATTCAAAGATATAAAAATAAAAGAAGAAATTGGGAACGAAAAATATCTTACTCAGGAAGATCTTAAGTTGCTGAATAACGATTAAGAATTAAAGGTAGATTCATAAGTAAAGAAGATTAATAATCAATTAAAAAATTGATAAATAACAAATAGGAAGATTTTTATGATAAAAAACACAATCTTAATATTGAAAAATTTCATTAACATACTAAATTATTTACATATGCTGAAGACCCAAAAATGATTCCCAAAAAATAAATCTTAATGGACATTAGAGATGAGTATCAATACTAACAATAACAACTAAAGATACTAAAATAAATCAAGTCAAAAACTAAAATATTCTAGATTTTTTAGAAATAAAAACCTTGATAAAATTATATTATATATAAAATAATTCATGATATTAATTATTATAATATAAATTACAATAGAAATTAAATTAAAAAAATGAATAATAACAATATCAAAATGGAAGTTATTACTTATTCCTTGAATCAGGTTTTGATTTAATATTAGTGAATGTTTACTTAAGGAGATTTTCAAAGTTTGTTTATAACTAAAGATTTGTTAGACCTTGTTTTGGATTTTTTTTTAGAGTCTTTTTTACCAATTTATCTATTGTTGCTTTATTTAATATTAAATTATTATTATTTTTATCTTAATCTTTAGTAAAATAAAACTGAGAAGAGAACATAGGTTAAAAGGAAATATTTTACTTCTATTCTCTTTGCAGTTATTCAAAAAAGTATTTATCATTTTAACTCATTTATTTTATATTCAATTTTTGTAGATCAGGTATATATGGAGGTTTAACTTATTTATTAATAAAAGAAGTTAAATCTACATCTCTAAACCATTTATGTTAAAAGATTTCATCTATTCCAAAATGAGATCCTAATCTTTTATTAGGATCTTTTATCATCAATTATCTTATTAAATCTTTAATATCTGTACTTAAATAATCTGGAAATTCAACCTATTCTTTAAGTAATCTAGCATAAATAATATTTTTATCTTCAGCATAAAAAGGAGGTAATCCAGTAACAAATTCATATAATAGACATCCTAAACAATAATAATCAACTAATTAAGTATGACCTGTTGTTTAAAACATTTCAGGAGCCATATATTCAGGTGAACCACAAAATGAATAAGCACAAGTATCTTTAGTCATATTTGGTCTAGCCAAACCAAAATCAGCCAATTATATATGTCCACTAGAATCAATTAGAATATTTTCTGGTTTAATATCTCTATAAATAATTTATTCATTGTGTAAGAATCCTATTGCTAGGATAACTTCAATAATATAAAATTTTGCTTATTATTCTGATAATCTTTATAGTTTTTTAATATATTTAAACATTTCACCTCCAGGACAATATTCAATTCCAAAAACAATCCAATTTTTAGTTTCAAAAGCACATTCTATTTAATTAGTAAAAATAGAACCACTATAAGTACTTTAAATTAAAATATCCCTTTCATTCAAAATTAGATCTTATTTTTAATGCTATTAAATGAATTATTTATTAATCAATTTAAGAGCAATAAATTTACCATCTATTAATGATCTAGCTAAGATGACAGTAGAAAATCCACCTTTACCAATAATAGAAATGAATTGAAAACTACTTAAATTGATTCTTTTAATGTTTTAATTGTAAATAGGCTTTAATCTAATAGTTTTATTGATAAATGAATCCATTGGTAAATTTGATTGTTATAGATAGTAATCAATAGTATAATTTTCATCCACTGTTGAGAACCCAATTATAGGATTGTTATTTTATTGTTTTTACTTCAAAAGATTAATCATTTTGTCAGTAGTGATATTGGGATTAAAACGATAATTTTAAACTTCATCTTATTAATAGTGAACATATATGGATATTTCTTATTTCTAAATTTTGTCTTATGATTGCGATTTACCAATTCCAGTATACATAGTACTCCCAACTAGTTCTTCCATACTATTTCTTCTTGTCATTGAGCCTTAGATAGGTTTAAGTTATTGACTATTGGATTATTAAGGATTTGAGTTTTTCTGTGTTAGTAGTAAATTAACACCTTTTGTAATATGAAAGAAATTTTCAGTTGGGATTCGCAATTATTTGCTTATTGGTCTTATTTTATCTTTAGAAACAGATTTTTGTGATTTCTATAAACTATTTACTCTTTCAGTCAAGCTACCATTATTTGTTTTGGTAATATAATTTGATTTAACAACAAAATCTTCAATGACTCCCTAAGATATTTTTCTATTGGGAAATCGTTGAGGGGAGATCAAAGTGTTCTTAGAGATTTGTGTTTTTTATTAAACAGCCACTCTTGTTGGAGAAATTATTATATGATGTTGCATAATTATATTAATAATCCAATAATTAAATGATAAAATAGAAAGTGAATTATATTAGAAAATGAATGAATAATATAGTAAATGATAAAGGATTATTAATGAGAATATGTATATATGTATATATTTAAAAAGTGAATGTAAATAATTATATTAATTTATGGAATAACATTTCGATTAATTTCACGAGGAATAATGTGAGATAATAGATGAACTAAATTAGACTGGGATTAATAAAGAAATAGCATATGAAGAATTGAGTGGTGATGAGGCTATGGAGTAATCCTTTAGTGTAAATTCATAATATATGAGTCATAATCGAAAAGCTAAAACAAATTTATTTATGACTAGTATGATAGTAACTAAAAGCATATTAGGAGTTGGAATCCTTGGACTTGTAAAAAATGCACATCTATTTAGCCTTACGTCACATACAACTTTGGGTTACTATTTACAATAATTTTGATTATAGCCTTTTATTGGCAAACTTAATACTGTACAAACATGTTTTTGTAATGTAAGAATTTATCAAGAAGAAGTAATATTTCAACAATAGGATTTTCTGCATTTAAATCTAAAGGTATAATAGTTTTCATTAATTTGATAATTATAATAAACAATTTTGGTTTATGTTTTGCAGAAATGATAATATAAGGAACAGCTATTTAGAATGTAGTGAAATCTCTATTTGATGCTTATGATGGAGAATGGTATACATAGAGAGTATTTCTCAGTTCAATATCAGCATTAATAATGATTCCAATGATGATTATTAAGAAAATTGAGAAACTTAAATTTGCTGGTGTAACAGCAATTTGTGCAATGAGTTTATTTTGCATAACTTTGATTACTAGTTTTATAAGTACAATGAAAAATGATGGTTTGGCTGTTGGATTTAATATATTACCTTATGATTTTACATTTATAAAAGCATTTGGAGCATTTCCTACTTTATTATTAGCATATAATTGGGAATTCAATTTATTTCCTGTTGCAAAAGGTATGGACAAACCAAATGATAAGAAAGTTATGAAAGCATGTTCTTTTGGAATGATCATTGCAACTTTTTTCTATTTAATGGTAGGTATAATGGGTTGTGCTATTTATGGTAAAGATTCATAAACTAATTTTTTGGCAAGTGTTACAAAAGAAAAGATGGGAGATATATAATTTTATTTATTAAATGGTTCATTTTATATATCAACTGTATTGACAACTCCTTTGGTATTCTTTGGAGCAAGGAATAATTTTTTATAATTAATAAAAGGGGAAAAGAAGAATAAAGTGAAAGGTGTCAATTTTGACTCATTAGATGAGAAAGAGGTTGCTTTATTGAAAAAGTAAAAGAAAAAGAGATAATAATCAACTAAATATATGTATTATATTTGGTCTATTGGATTATTTGTAATAATAACAATTGGATCAATTTACATTCACTCCTTAGAAATTGCATTTAATTTTGTTGGATCTGTATCATCTAATTCTATTGGATGTGTATTACCTAGTCTCTTTTTATTTATGTTAATGAAAGAATACTATAAAAATAAATAGATGACAAAGATGGAAAGTTTATAAGAGAATTTAGCAAAGATATTCTTTGTATATTCTATAATAATGTCATTTGTATGTTTGACAAGTGAAATTCTGACAACAATTTATGAATGAATGTGTAAAAATTATATTATATATTAAATTAAAATGTAATAAGCTATTCCTAATTTAACACCAGAAGTCAAATAAAGATTAGAAGATTAAGGATTTAAGCCTTTCAAATATAGACCATTACCAGAATATGCTAATCCTCATTCACTATAATGTATTCTCATTCTTAAAATAGATTGGTTGACAAATGCTGGTTTAGGACTCATTTGTCTTGTTGGCAGACATTATGCTACATCCTAATAATCAATTAGAATATTATGGTCTGCATCTGCTGTATTTATTCCTCTATATGCCATTGCTACCAATGCTAAACTTGATGGATTAAGATAAAACAATTTTTATAGGTTTCCATTCACCTTTCAACTTTAGAAAAACTTTAGATGATAGACTTGAATTACATCCATTGACCAGAAGAGCTTGGGAAAGAGCCAAATAAACTCATAAAGAATATTAGGATTAATTGAGAGAAGAGATTGCTACTTTAGAAGCAGAGTTGAGAAAATGAAATTATTTCATATATAATAATAAAATTATATAATCATGAATGATTAACTTATAACCATGACATCATAAGAGTTCTAATAGATTTATAAGGTAAGTTAATCATTAATTAACAATAAGGAAGTAGAATTCAAACTTGAAAAATTACACAATAAGAATAATGTCATCTAATAAAATCTTGATGTTGATATTATCAAAAGAGAACTCTATTAAATGATTAAATAAGAAATAGATCAATTATAATTCTTTATTGAAGAAATTAAAGATTAAATGAGATCACTTGAAAACAATATCAATAATATTGACTCCAAAAATAAGTGATGAAATCTCTATTCTTTTTAGGATCAAAAGATTAAAAGATAATTATCTTAAAGAAACATAACGAACCAAAGCAATTACTCGTATTTTAAATAATAAATCTTCATTTTAAAGTGAAAAACAATATGATGGAGTCAGTATCTTAAGTCAATCTGATACTGGAAGATAGCCTAATTCTCTTCCATCAAATTCATCTTAATTTCAATACTAATAATACATTATCTAATAAAACGATAGTTTTCAATAATAAGATAAATAATAGAATGGAACTACTATCTAAAATTAAGATTCTCCATCTAATTCTATTCTATAATAAAATTAAATCTAAAATGATTCCCCAAATGAGATACAATTTAATAATGATCATTAAAGAGAAGATGAAGTATAAGAAGAAATTAATAATGAAGTTTACTTTATTGTATTAGTCATTATGATAATTATAGCAGTTTTAATCATTTGGTTGCTTTATGATGAAGATATTCTGTGATTTTTAATCTATTATTTTATTGTTATTATTATTATATATGGAAGATTAGATTGATAACGAATTCTTAGATGAAAATTAACCAAACCAAGATCTAATAGAATGTGAACTTTGTAATAGGAAGTTTCATCCTGAAAGAATTGAAAGGCATCTTATTGCTTGTCAAAAAGCACAATTGAAATAATAAGAAAGAGATAAAATAATATAAAAAAAGAAAAAACAGATTGAATAAAAAAAATAATAACTTCAATAAATGGATGTTGAAATAGTTAAAACCAATTGGAGAGAAGAACATTAAAAATTTTAGGAATAAATCTAATATAACCGAAAATTAAAATAAGTAATAACAACATTATATATTAAGTTAGAAAATGAAGGATAAGATGTAAATTAATTAATACCACCAGAAACCAAAGTAAATTCAAATTATGTTTTTTGCGAATTTTGTGAAAGACATTTTGCTAAACGTAACTATTAAATATCTATCTATAAGATGTTGCTGACAGACATATACCAAAGTGTAAAGAAATCAAAGCTAAGCCTAAACCTCCAAGAAAAAAGACTGTTGAAATGATTTAAGCTTCTTAACCATAACTTTAAGAAAAACGATAAGCCTAAGTTAGTACACCCTCTACTTCAAGTTAAATGGAAAGAAAACCCATTATCAAAAAATAATTATCAGATTCTTCACAATAATTCAGACCTACTAGTTTATAAAAGTTTATATCAGAATAATCTGGTAAAGCAAATTTAACAAATATTGGTATCGTATCAAATACTATCTAGGTTTTATCGATTGTAAATCAAGAGCTACTGCTATCTAAGATACAGAGTGTCCTCATTGCAATAGAAGATTCATATCTAGAGCAGCTGAAAGACATATTCCAATTTGTGAGAAATTAACTAGAAAAAACTCTTTTCGTATGATTATTTAATTAATTATTATTAGAAATCAAATATCATAATAGAAAGAGTGTTCCTATAAAATAAAATAATTTAATGATGATGGTAGCACCTACAGCAATTTTACCTAAGATTTAAAGAAAAGTAAATAAGTAGTTAGAAACAGGAATGTTACCTCCTATTGGAAATAGTTAAAAGTTTTGTACAGAATGTGGAAATAGATTCTAGGCTAATCATAAATATTGTGGTGGATGTGGACATAAAAGAGAACCTGAAATTGTAATTTGAAATATTTAGCATTCATGACAACTTAAGATTTTATTTATATAAAACAGTTTTTCTTTTTTTATTCCCAGTATTTCTAGGTATTTATTTTTTTTGCATTTCTCTTTATTTATGGGTCCATTAATTGATTTCTGGTGGCATATCCTTATTTTTAATATAATCTTCTATTTGATTGATATCCACTATTGCATATGATTCATCTTTAATTTTATTGAATAATTCTACTAAAATATCTAAAGTTGATTGATTATCTCCATTTGTGATTTTTAATACTTAATTATGTTTTCTGAACTTTTTAAGCATATATCTAATTAAAGTCATGTAGAAATGTTTTGCTGCTAAATGAAAACAATTATTTCCCATTTTATCTTTAGATAACAAAGAAAGTTTAGTATTTTTTAAAAGAAACCGTACTATTTCAATTTCACCATAATAACATGCCCTATGAATAGCTGTTTAACCTTCATTGTTCTTTAAATATATATTGATACCAGGTATATTAAATAAGACTTATACTAATTCAATATTTCCACTTGCACAAGCAGCTATAAATATACTGGCTCCTCCATTTTCTTTTGTATTAACTTTGGCTCCAACACTAATTAGATATTAAATGATTTCAATATTTTGATTAATAGTAGCTATCATAAGTGAAGTATCTCCTTATGGATTTTTATCCTCAAGTAGTGTAGTTAATTAATTCTCATCTGTAGAATTAATTATATATTTAACAATAGCAAGTTGATTCATTCTCACTGCTAACATTAATGAATTTTCCCCTTAAAAAATGGATGTAAAATTATAATTAGTGGATTAGGCTATTTATTATAGTAAATCTAAATCTCCATTTATAATCGCATTTGCAATTTTGTCTTAGGTTGTTTATGAGAAGTATTTAATTGTAGTTTCAGGTACTCCAATTGCATATAAACCTTTTACAATATAATTTCCCATTTGAATAATATAAATTATGTAGATTAGATTTATCATAACTCATCATTATTAACAAAAGTCCATCCTCCTAAATGTGCTTTAGATTCCTCTACTATACTCTACATATCAAACACATTTCCATCTATTTTAGTATTGATTCTAATTTTCCTGTTTGGTTTTGGCATTGTCAACTCTCTATTATAAACTACATCCCAATTAACATCCTAGAAATATTGATGTGCCTTGATTTCTTCTGAGTCTCCTTTACCTGAACCTAAACGTTTAGCTGGATTTCTTTATAATAACTAATTAATTATAATTAAATTGATACTGCTTTTAATAGATTTTTAGCCTCATTAGAAATATATGAAGGTATTTTGAGTTAAGCATTTTCAATATTATAAAACAATTCCTCTCTATTATTGGCATAATAAGGAGGCAATCCAACCAATAATTCATACATCACAACTCCTAATAAATACCAATCAACAGCTTTTCCATGACCAGATCTCTTTAACATTTCAGGTGCTAAATATGCAACTGAACCACAAAATGATCTAGCACCAGTATTAGGTTCTAAGATTCCTTCTTTAGATAATCCAAAATCTGTCAAAAGAGCATGACCTTCACTATCCAAAACAATATTATCTGGTTTTAAATCTCTAAATATAATATCTCTTTTATGTAAATCCTCTAAAGCTAAGACAATTTCACATAAATAATTCTTCACTATATTTTCAGGTAGTCTTTTCTACTTTTATAACACTTCTCCTAAATCCCCTCCAGGACAATAATCTAAAATCATAAACAATTTATCTTATGTTTAGAATGCAAATCTTAATTTAACTATGAATGGATGAGATGTTATTGATAACACATTTCTTTCAGTTAAAGCATATCTAGTTAAATTATGTTCTATTTATATTATAATATAATTTTACTCATAATTCTGCTTTTATGAAGTACTTTCATAGCATATAACTAATTGCTTTTTTAAACTAAATATACTTCTCCAAAGCTTCCTTTTCCAATCAATCCAATAACTTGAAATTATTAAGGTCCAATCTTCTCTTCTTCCTTATTTTTAATTGAATCAGAATTAGTTGAAACTGTATTTGTTAATTATTATTTTGCAGAATGAGTTGAATTTATTTTATTTAATCTTTCTTATTTAATCTCTTATTAAGTTCTATTATTTGGAGAAGATGATTATTTGTTAACAACATTTAAATTTTTGCATGAATAACTATTTAATTGAGTTGGAGTTTATGCAAAATTTTATTATGTTTGTAATTAAATTCCTTATTATTATTATTATTATTATTATTATTATTATTATTAATTCATCTATCCTCTTTTAAATTAAAACATTTTAAGAATGACATCATTTTAAGTATTTTATATTTATACCATATTCATTTTCTACTCTTAAATTATAATTTAACAAATGACTTACATTATTTTTTAATATCCTCATTATAATTCTAAAATAAACGTTAGATTTCTTCATTTTATGCATATTATTCAGCAATTTTATGTTCTTTGTTTATTTTAAATTAAATAGATTGTCTTTTCAATAATAACTGGACAATTGTTTTATGATTCTATTTACAAGCATAATGTAATGCTGTATTTCCTAAAGAATCTTAATGATTAATGTCTGAACCTGCATTCATCAATATCATCAAGACTTCATCTTATCCACTTATAATTTATTAATTAATTCAATACTTTATTGCTGCTAAAATTAATGGAGTCATATGATCTTTGTTTTATGCATCAATAGAAATTTACTTAAATATTAATGCAGATGTTAATTAAGCATTCCCATTTTTGGCTGCATAATGAAGTGCTGTATTATCTAGCATGTCTTTAGCTGAAAGAGAAGCTCTAAGTTCTGAATTAATCTTCTATCTGGGTGGTAATTTTACTAAGAAATATAAATTTAATTTATACAAATATTATGAACTAATGTAGGTTCCAATAATTAGAGACATCCTCCTGTATTATTATTCTTACTCTCTTTAATGAACCATTAATTTAATTATTTTTTTATATCCTCCAACTCATCCGTTCTTGGTGATGTTGCTTCTACTGTTTTTGTTATACCCTAACTAGAGATTGGTATTTTAGGTTCATCTGCCTAACTAGTTTATCTCTTAGAGCTTGACACTTTTCTATTCTAAAAAAAAGGCATCAACTTATGTTAAGAGTGAGAACGATCAGTAGATGGTTTTGTTTACTATTTTAATTGTGAAGTTGTCTTAGGAGTCATTATTTTTGAGGCATTTGTTTGGGATTTTGCTTAACTTAGTCTCCTATTATTAGCATCTTGAATTTGTTTTAATTTATCAAGATATTCTTAAAGACTTGGCTTGCTATTACTGTTAATATTCATTTATTATTTTTCTAAAATATAAATTATTATATAATTTATAAATAACTATTATCAAATTGAATATTCAATCTCTAATTTCCCTTTAAATTGGAAAGATTCATCAATATTTTAAATTTTAAATCAATCAAAAGTATATAACTATTCTTTCAATTTATAATTTTGAATTTAACTCATTTAAACTCTTTAAAATTAATTTATCATAAAATAGTTTAATAAGATTCATTATCAAATCCATTTAAATAAATATAAAATATTAAAGATATATATTTTATCCCAACTAAAAAGAGTAACTTAATTTCTCTTCTATTAAGAATTAAATTGATATAATGATTCTTCAAAAATATGAAATTACTCACTATATCTTATGTATTTAATTTCAAATATTCATATATTATAATTATGATGATCACTATTATCAAAATATATATATATATAAATCATTAGATATATCTCAAACCTTCTATTACAATTGCTAGTATTTTTTCATTCTCAATCTTTTTGATTACTCTATTGAATTAAAATAAAATGATTAAGGATGTTACTATTAATAGCCTTAATCTTAATATTATTATTATAAAGGTTGAGTTCTTTCTTATATCTAATTAAGATCTTAATTATATTATTAACGCATAGTTTCTTATTAAATACTAATAAATACAATAAAACTAAGTTTAATGATTCTATTATTATTCTAATATATTTTAAGCTGGTTTCAAAGGACCATAAACAAACCTTTCTTTATCATCTGCTGGATTGTATAGAAATGGATGAGTATTACCTAAGATTGAAACAATAATTTATTACTGGAGATTGAATTTTGATATTGTATTTATTCTTAAGTTAATGGAGGAGTAGATAATGGATAATATTTGATATTCTTGTTATTCAAATGCTTAATTTCGTATTAATTTAATGTTTATTACATATCTAATATAATAATAGAATATACTCCCAATAGTATCTTCAATGCCACCCAATTACTGGATATTTTATTTGAATAGTTTAACTTAATCAGGAGGAGAAGGATCATTTATAGCTTATAAATATTGAATTTATTTCTTTTAAAATTCATTTACATCATGAGGATCTCTGAAATAAGTTGGCTACTTTATAATTTAGCCTAATTAATTTGAATTCACATTAAAGTCTAAATAATTATTAGGAACTGGAACAAATTAATTCCCCAACATATGATCCATTAATAAATGCTTTTGCTAAATGGGCTTGCTATTTTCTTATTAAATCTTTGCATTTTCTAGTGTTTGTGAATATTAAAACAATTATCTAAATTATATTGTAAATTCTACCCTTAATCTGCAAAGAGAGTTTAACGAGAAAAATGATCAACCAAGGAATTTTATTGTGGAATATTCAGTTGTTATTATTAATATTTGGGTACTTATGGATAAGCTTAGCCAAAGTTCTAACAAACACTATAAATGAGTTGTAATTAATACTCTCTATCAAATTATTCCATCACTTATGGAAATTAGTCAGGATTCTTTATGTTAGGATTTTAACAAAAGTTGGATGCTGTTTATTTGAAATCTAAGAAGAAATTTCTTATATTTACAATCCTTCTCCATTTAATTGGTTGTTATATTTAATAATAATACTTAAATATTTATATGATAATAATAATATTAAATGTCTAGAATTCTTAATATTAAATTAGAGAATTCTTAAAAAAAAGATAATAA